TAATACTAATTACTTAGTAATTTAATATAAGAGTCATAAAACATTAAATGATGAATATCAAATTTATATATTTTAAACATATATAAATAATTATCATACATACGTAAGTAACTTAATTTCAGTTAAACAAATTATTAAAAAATAAATACAATCATTTAAGAAAAGCTAATGTATGCATATAAAATAAAAGTAGATGATTTCTAAAAAAAAAAAAAAAAAAAAAAAAAAAAAAAAAAAAAAAAAAAAATATCAGAACTTTGTCCACATCAATGATCTTTAAATTATTGAATTGCATTTGATAATTTAAAGATATAGCGATAAAAAGTTGTGCAATATTTTTTGACGAATAAAACAAATTCTCAATTAAAATGTTGAAATAAAGGACATTTTATATAAATCAATCAACGCGTGCTTGTTCGATTATAAAAATTATTATTGCTACTAATTTTTTAAGCCTCGTTAAAAATAACAAGTACTCGAAAACTTACGTCCAATTTCAGAAATTTTGAGACCATAAATGGTGAACAATCTCTTATTTATCGGTTCAGGACATTTATGCGTAACTAAAAGTAATTAACACCGTTTTTACCAAAATATTCCAATTATATCATATATATATATATATATATATATATATATATATATATATATATATATATATAAAAAAAAAAATATCTTAAAAAAGCTCTATTTTTTGTCATGAAATTTTAAGGTAATTGCCATAAATGGTATATACATAGCGCAATTATTCTGTAACATAATTTAGCTTCCGAATATAAAACAGAGCTGGGGTTATAAATGCTCAATATCATATTGATTTTAGTTTGTAAATCATTTTCATTAAATTGCAATGATTTTGCTGAATTGCTTAGGACGCATTATTAACCAAATTATTACCATAAGATGCACCTATCACTTTCTATAAGACTATTTAGGTGTGCACCTACTTTAAAATCCTTATCTTTGTATATCTGTTGCTCTAATGATAATACTAGACGTGACGAGCACAAATCCTTTTTATATCAAATGTGTATGCATAAAAATATTATCTCATCTAATGATGTTAAATAAAATGACGGAAAAATATTGATTAATATAACACTTTATATAACATAATGTAACCCACATAAATATATCTGTTTTTAATACCGAGACCATTTTAAATAATCGGCTAATACGACTTTTAATATTCTGTTATAATGAAGCTTGACAAGCAACGAATAAGCACACTTAAAAATATCTTTAATGATAATATGCAATGTAAATTCCCACTCAGAACCATATATGCGTGTGTGTATGTGTACTTCATAAGTAGAGATTTCATATAATTTATAATAAATTAAAGATTAAAAAAAAATAAAAATAAAAAATAGTTAACTATACATGAAAATTACTGTTGTTTGATATTTTGCTTTTTATTAACATTATTTTTTCAATGAGAGTATGCTAACGTAAGAAAGTATTTATGGGTAAAACTATTAAATTTTAAGGATTCTATTCTTCATCGTAATTGAGATAAATTGAGAAGAAGAATTGTTAAAACCAAGATAAATTCAAATTTATGAACAAAGTACTTAGAAATACAAATATTTTAAAGCATCTTATTTAAAATTACTCAAATATATTATTAATAAAATTTATTATTTATTGTTATTTAATATTCATCATATATTATTAATAAAATAAGTAAATTTTAAAGAATAATAATATAAAATTAATAAAATTTTGTAAATAATATGAAAAATCTGTGAAAAGTAACTTTATTCATCTTTCCAGTATTTCGTATAAATATTAATTAATTAACTTGAATTTATTATACATTTATTTTCATGAATAAATTTTATAAATAAACATCTAATCAATTAAAAATTTCTACTCATGTGTGCATTTGTAAATCATGTACGATAATTTTGTCTCTCAACTTATTGTTAAATCTAAATCAATATATTGATTTCAAATATATTGATATATATTTTCTAATCGCAATACATTCGTTTTCCTGTTTAACATTTACTTTTTCACTTCTTCGGATATATTATTAGATTAATTTAACGATAGAGTAAATAATCAAAACAGTCTCGTATAAAGCTTTATTTTTATAGAACGAAAATAATAAACGCAGAATAATAGAAATTCCATATCGAATATTCAACGTAATTATTGAAAAAAAAAGAAAAAAAGAAAAATTAACGATACAATATCTATATTTATAAATACTAAATATTTATTCAAATTTCAAATACTACTTTATCTTATATGTTTAAATTTGTATATATTTGGTTTTAACAAATGATAAATTTATTAAAGCAATATATCAATTACAATTTATGCGACGAATTGTGTGTTATATCGGTTTGCACATTATATTTAAATAAACAGTCGGGTCGCTACAAACTTGAAATTGCATGATTTATTAAGCATAAATATGGAATCACTGATATTGCTTTAAAAGAAAACAAAATAATATTATTAGATTTACTAAGCTCGATTATTTATTAGAAAAGGCCACTGTAATAATTTATTACAAAATAAATATTGTGTAAATAATAAAAATTATATCATGTTTCTTTTGATAAAATATCTGAATTTGAATTTTAAGTATAATGTTTATTATGTAAATAAAACATTAATATACTTTAATAATATAATGAAGAATGAAAGTGATTTTATTAAGTACGCAAATATTTATAAGTATACGCGAATGTTACTTGGTGACAGGATACTCTTAATTAATCCGAATACTTATGAAATTACTCAAATATATTTAATCTATATAAATCGTCACATAAATACAGATTAACAAGTATAATTATAATAATGCTTTGGATAACTGATAATATATGCCTTTGTTGAGATGATTGTTCTAAATCTGAAATGTATATATATATATATATATATATACAGATAGGTATTTTTTTCTGTGCGTGCGCGCGCGCTCCTGCATCCACGGTGATGATTTTTTCATATCAAAAAATTTTTACAATGAAGGTAGATGGATGAAGTTAAAGTTGGAGGTCGACAAAGTCAGCTTTCTCATAGAAACTTTGTTTTTGTACTCTGTCTCATATTACTGAAACTCTTCTTACTCGTATCTGCTCTCCAACATCTCCTTTTCATATTATTAAAAAATTTCATATAATTGTTTTTCCGAGGAACGTTGAGTTATTTTTCGTTTCATCTCGTGATACCGAGTAATTAAATCAAATATTGTGGATAATCGAATTATAAGAATATTAGAAAATATCACATTAATCATATGTATTATATTAGAGTAATTAGAAAAATAGAAATCATACATATATATATATATATATATATAATAATTAAATAATTTTTATTTCTATCAAAATTCGAATAACTTATACAATAAATTAGGATTTAAAAAAGTAAACTTTCTATAATATATGGAAATATTTTGTGACAATAAACAAAATATTAAAAAGTTTACAAAACGTAACGAAGCGTTTTTATAACTCCAATGTAAACTTTGTTCAATTTTTAAAATCTTACCATAGTTGGGACAATATTTTTTATATTTCTTCACAATTAATAAGCTTTCTTGTGCAGTCTACTTAAGAATATGTCATAAATATCCGTATATATATTATTATAAAGATCAAATATCGCTATATCATTATATTTCATTTTATTTTTATAGTATTTTTGCAAAGAAATTTATGAAAAACAAAAAGAAAAAAAAAGAAAATAATAATAATAACAGAAATATTAATTTAACAATTCTAAAGCAATATTATCTTTACAAACATTTCACATAAATACGGTGTCATAAAATAATAATAACCTCATATATATCTGAAATAATGTCAAATGATTGAAATAAATAAATAAATAAATTACAATGCATGTTAATTCTTTGTATCTTACGATTGAAAATTTATCGATATATCTTGATCAAGATTATCAAAATTTAACTATAATGAATTTTAACTATAATGAAATGTTATGTTTTTAAACAGAGTAATTACAAAGATACTGTAGTTGAAGGATGTTTTATAAATCATTTTAATTAATGATAATACAATAAATATTTACACATTTTAAATCAAACAATATTCATTAAATTACTATTTACATATGATAAGGAATTACTTTTGCAAATACATACATACATTTTAATTCAAAAAGCTTCATAATTGTCGTAATATGTTGTTATTGTTATAATTTTTTTTATATGTATACATATATATTATAAAAGATGAAAATATGATTAAAAATACATAATTTAAACATCATATTATTGAGATTGTATTAAAAAAAATTTACCTATTTTAAATAGATTTTAATAATTAAATTTGAAATATATCTTGGTAATAGAAAATAGAGAAGGGGAAAATAATAAATATTACATTAATAAAAATGTTGTTTTATTATATTATAATATTTTACAATTTTTCATAGATTATATGGCTAGAAAATTAAATAAAAAAAAAAAAATTTAAGTAATTTATTAAACTCTCAACGTTTTACATTAAAATATATTAAATATTTATAAATATACGGTGTATAAAAAAATTGATAAATTTTTACATAATTAATAGTCTTATTAAAAAAAAAAAAAAACAAATAATTTTGAGTTTTTTTCGTCAATATTTTTGGAATAAATCAATTAAAGATTTTTTTTATCTTATCATAAACTTTACATCTTTTGAAATTTAATAATGTACAAAAAGATATAAAAGTAAAAAAAATGAAGTCAGTAACCTTTTTACTCGATGTGCGTCATAGTTAATAAATATATACTTCGTGAGTTATTAAATAATTATCTATAATCCAAATGTATCGAATTCGTAAAATTTCATTATAAGACAGACAGGCACGTAAATACAAGTTCGTTGCTGATGCTAAATTGCAAATAAAATTCAAAATAGTGCATAAAATTAGAATATAAAAATGTAATACATAATTATGCAATACAAAAACGAAATATATAAATTGAATATATAATTTGTATTACATGTGAAATAAAATTTAATAATAAAATTAACAGTAATTTCTCGTATTATCCCATATTCTATAAAAATGTAGACATAGCCAAATGTAAACTAAATTTTTACTTTTAAATAATACTGATTCAGATTATAAGATTTACTGTTTTAGTCGATTTGAACTGTTCCGATAGTACAAGTGGTTTGAAGAACATTGCTGTTAATTTATTATGTAATAATTTTAAACAATTAGGAAGTGGTGTTTTTTCAACTAATTGATCAAAAATAGGCCTCTTGAATAGCCTTTTGGCTTCGGTAAGTTGTTCAGCTGTGATAACACGATCATCTAGGTGTACCAGTCGTGGAAACCATGAAATTACAAATAACCTGTTTATTTTATGAGCAAAATACAATACATAATTAGTTTGATTGGATCATTATTGGACCAATATTCTTAATACATTTACATTAGCATAATAATAATAAAATGTCTTTGTTAGAAAATCTGCATTATGTGAAAAAATATTTTTAAATTCAGAAAAATCAATCAAGTGATTTCTAATAATTTTTGTTTAATATGACAGGAGTACCTGTATTGAAGATAATCATAAAAAGTTCCACCATTAAAATAACTTGGAGCTGCTTTATTTCCCATGAGACACAAATATCTTAGATTGGGCAAACTTGTATATAAATTTTTTAAAAATGGATATAAGTTTTTAATATTATTATAGTTCAGCCAGAGAAGTTGTAGTTTTGGCATGTAGAGAAAAGTTGTGAAATCATCAATATCGTTATAATCCAAATTTAAGGAAGTCAAATTTTCAAATTCAGCCAGGAAATGTAAATTTCTATAAAAATTTTGGAAAATTAAAGATGTTTACAACAAGTTAGATTTAACAGTTTTATTAAAAAAAAAATTGTCAACAACCTGCTAAATTTGTTGTGACTAATGTCCAATGTAAGAACAGTATTTCCATAAGTTTCAATAATATCATAAGGCATATAGAAAAGATTTTCAAAGGCAAGTGACAATGATTTATTTAAATTTTGAGAGGAAGTATTTGAAAGCGATAGTTTCGATTGTCTAGAATGAGTATCGACAAAAACAAGTTTTCCTAAGGATGTCATAGCTAGCTCTTCTATACCTTCCGCTTCTAATTGTAATTCATAATAATAGGCCAACCTAAGGATAAAAAAAATTTGTACACCAATAAGATTTAAGTTTTTTCCATTTTTATATACATTTTGCCGTATTATGACTTTGTGAAGCAATTTAATTACCAATATAAATTATATACAATTTTTATATATAATATGACCGATATTTTTGATCTTTAAATTACTGACTATATTTGTAAGTTAAAATATTTTTATTAATTTAAGTAGATATGATATGTATGTAGAATGTTGTAAATTTAAGATGAAATAAACTAATAATTATTCAAATATAATTACAAGTTTAAATCCGTAACTATTAGATAGAAAAATGTTGCAATCAAATACCATAATAAAGAATTATAACTTTTGTTGTTGTACTTACTAAAACTACATTTATTTTATTTACTTACTTTTTTTTTTTTTTTTTTTTTTTTTTTATTTTTTTTATATTAATAAGACAACTTTTGGAGAAAAAATATTAAAATTTCAAATTTATTATGCTTTTTAAAAATGTAATATATTTTATAAAAGAAATAAAAAAGTTTTTAATAATTTTCACTCAATTATCAATATATCTGAGTTAAAAATTCAATATACTTATATTTGCACGTCAACGGAAAATTGTTTCTTGAAAATAACTGAAGAATAAAATTCTCTTTCAATATTAAAAAATAAAAATAACTTCACACAGAATGTCAAAAATATTAAAAAATTTTGTTTAAAAATTAATTACATGAATTAAAATGAATGAATTATAAACGATTAAAGAATATATTTTTACTTTAAAGTAGCCAGCAACTAAGTACCACAAATAAACGCTCACTGACAAAAGTGATTTAAAGAAATTCATAAGAACTCTTATCTATTTTTGATAACGAAAGAAGTTGATGAATTCGAGGTTAGAATTTTACATTATGTAACAAGCTCAATTATCCTTGTACGATTCCATAATAAGCGTGTCATTTTAGTAATATATTTTCCATTCTAATTATTATCAAACTTAAATAACGAAATGCCTTTTATATCTTAAAATAATGGCAAATGTTAATCAAATAACTCACCTTTTTTCTCTGCATCTTCTTCCTTGCTGTATACAAACATCGTGCAGTCCAGAGTTTTATTTAATTGCATTTCTTATCATTTAAACTCTTTCCAATGAAAAATTAAGAATCATAGTAGAAAAATATTTTATATATTTAAAAAAAACAAAATAGTTCACTCCATTACCATTTGGAAATAACGTCTTTCTATTATGTCTTTTGTATTTTAAATAATTCCATAAAATACGGTTGTCATTACCTTCATAGAATACGTCTCTTTCTCACTTTCCTCAATACATCTTTGCCTGTAGATCCCAGCTCCTAGTTGCACGCATTCACGCACACATGCATATGCGTACATAAACACACACTCGCGCACACACATATATATATATATATATATATATATATATGTATGAGCGTATGCGAGCGCATGTATATAAACATAAATATGGAAACATAAATTGAAGGGGAGAAAATATGGAAAGTTGGGAAACTTGGTATGGACAGTACGTAGCGACATCTAGTGAGTGAAATGTATATTTGGCATTGACAACATATTCTCGAGATTAATATACTTTTTGTCATCGCCATTTTCCTATGTTTACAGAGTTCTCAAAACTTCTATCCCTATTATTAATTTCGTCTCACCTGTATTGATTGTGCAACATTGTTATTTGAATAATATAAAGCTAAAGCCAGTGCGAGGAAATGAAGAAATGTCGCATGAAAAAATCGAAAAGTCATTTTTGAGATTATCTCGCACTGTTAATGAGAAATTTTGTCTATTGGTGTTTATACCTCGCGAAAAAAAAGGAAGAATTTTAGTATGTGATGTCTTCTGAAATTTTGGTATCTCTTTGTGTGATTCGAATAGAAGTGAACAATCTTTCCGAGGACGCAAGTAAGGCAGATTTTTATATTGTTTTGTTTCTATTCGTTTTGATCTTTGTTTTGATTCGTAAAAGAAAATGAAATTAAAATTAATAGTTTTATCAATTGAATTAACGATGTTAATGGTTCGAATTAATTTCTATCCCACAATTGTCTGTAAATTGAACTAAGCTTTTACATGAAATGCATGTAAAACATAAATAATGCTGAGAAACTGTTTTAGGTGCTATGGATAAAAATGCAAGGAAAATGAGAGGTTCTAGAGAATCTCGAGACATAACAATAGAAACATACTCGGATCGTAGCGAAGGGCCTTTACCTTTATTACCGCAGACTACAAGTTTTCAAATGTCTAATAAATCTGAATCGACATCGAGAGAGAATTTAGAGGATAAATCATGTTTGTCTAGTGCTGCTTCACTTCCGAATATGGATAATTTTATCGGTGCTGCTGCTTGTAATACACCGGATCAAATTAATTTCATTTCAGGAAATCCTTTTGTCGAAGTTACTAAGGGAATCTTACATCTTTTTAAAGAAAAGTAAATGTGTCGTTTATAATACTATAATTAAAATTTTCATTACTTATTTCGGCTGCATTTTATACTATAAAACATCCTCTATAAATTTCAGTACATTAACAGAAATGCGTTCACCTCAAAATAGAAGCCATACAATTTGTATATTATCAGTTCCAGCGACAATGACTTGTCATGATCTAATGACTTTTACGGCAGCTTGTCATCAAGATATTCAATACTTTAGAATCATTAGAGATGGAAATCCTAATCAATATATGACACTAATGACGTTTCGCTCATCGGTAAATTTAGTTCATTGGTCTAATTAAAAATTGTATGTACATTAATTAATATCTATCGTTAATAGGCTGCCGCTAGTGAGTTTTATGAAACGTTTAATGGGGCTCCCTATAATTCATTGGAACCTGAAATAGTTTGTCACATGGTTTTTGTTTCAAAAGTTGAAACCGCGGACAATGGTTTGCCACTTGCAGGTCATACCGAATTACCATCTTGTCCCGTATGCCTAGAAAAGATGGATGAAAGCGTCGATGGCATTTTAACAATTTTATGCAACCATACTTTTCACGCTGGTTGTCTCGTTAAATGGGGCGACACTTCGTGCCCTGTTTGCCGTTATGCTCAGACCCCGGAACCCGTTGCCGATAGCCGTTGCATGGAATGCGGTACGCTCTTTCTCATACCGTCTTACAGCCCTTAACTCAAAAAGTTCACTAAATCAATAGAAAAACTCGAATTCCATCTACAATCTGTATAATAGAAAGTTAAAAAAATTATTAGAAAAAAAGAAAAAAAAAAAAAATAAAAACAAAATTTGCTCTAACAGTGTTAAATAATGCAATAAAGTAATTATAAAAGGATTCTTTAATCGTGCATAATTAATATAAATTAATATTTATAATGGGAATTAGTTGCAGAAACGCCTAACGAGGCATTATGGATTTGTTTAATTTGTGGACACATTGGCTGTGGCCGATACGACCAAAGTCACGCATTCGAGCACTACCGAGATACACATCATTGTTACGCAATGGAATTGGGGCAAAATCGAGTCTGGGATTATGTTGGAGACCATTGGGTCGATAGATTATTACAAAATAAAGATGGTAAAATGGTCGAGGGAGGCCAAGAATCTACTAAAGGTAAACGAGGAGGTGTCGATGAGAAAGTTGACTCTGTACAGCTGGAGTTTACATATTTATTGACATCTCAACTGGAAACTCAACGGGAATATTTCGAGGAGAGAATTACGAAAATTGAAGAACGAACGTGTGCCGAAACAGCCGAGTTAAGAGAGAAAGTCGAGTACTTAACCGAAGAAAATTCCCGAATGAAGGTAATAAATGGCATTTTGAAGTACTTTGAATTAAAAATTTGCGAGTAATAATTTATGACGGTCATAATTATTTTTACGCTTTAGAATCAATTATCCGTTTTGACTCGAGAAAAGCAAACAGTGGAAAAAAAATTGCAAAATTCAAACTCTAAATTGACACAAACTCAAACTCAATTGACCGAAGAAAAAGAATTAAGACAAGCACTACAGCTCAATCAAACGTCTTGGCAAATCAAACACAATCAATTGCAAGATGAAATGAACGATTATAAAAAGAAGAAAGAAGTAGAGACGAGTGATTTACGGGAGCAAATACGCGATCTGATGTTCTTTTTGGAAGCGCGAAATGAAATTGAAAATTCGGAAGAGAGGGAAGAAATTGCGTCAGGCCGCATCGTTATTGGCCCAGGCTCGCAAGTTCCGAAACCCACTACACCAAAGAGTAAAAATAAAAAGGATAAGAAACATTAAAGGAATAATTTTGCGTAAGCTCCCATTGTAAAAAAAAAAAAAAAAAAAAATTCTTAATGTATTTAAAATGGTTGTAAAATATTAGTTTTATATTCTCAAAGAAATAAAAACAGATACTTAATTTTTAATCGTTCGTTATCACTTTTTACTCAAGATTAAAAAATTTTTAAAATCTCCAACGAATTTATAATCATTACTTTAAGCGCAACGAGAACGTATGATAATCGATGAAGGGGATACAGTGAAAAGAATTGTAACGTTTTTTTCCTTTTTATTATCATATATAGATCATATATATATTTATTTTTTTTTTTGAAAACACTTAATATAATGTACTTATAATTATATCGTAAATTGTTGGACATGCTGGTTGGGTCAAGAGTCGTGACTCTACGTGGAGTTTCCCAGTGTTAGATTTTTTTTTTTTTTTTTTTTAATTTCCTTCAATTTAAACTTCTCAAATATGAAAAATTCGAAAGTCCATAATTCAAAAGTCTTTCTAGATACTCCCAAATCGTGACTACATTTTTCTCTATTTAAACCGCCTTTTATAATCCGCGCGATATAATCGAAAGAGGCAATTGAAAATTCGTTCCTTTACATTTTATTTTATTTTATTTTTTCTCTCTTAATAATAAACGCGTGTGTGTAGTCGCGATTCAGAAACGAAAAATGTGCGATCAATCAGCCGATCGTGCGACTTTTTCCCCCGGCATTCTCGCTGTCATGATCGATTCATTGATCGCTCATTGAATTAGCATATACCAAAAGCATCGTACTCCACGCCACAGCAATCAAGTTTTTCTTTTTTTTTTCTTTCTTTTTTTTTTCTTTTGTCATCGCACGTCTCAGTTTCGTATCTCTTTCTTCTATACGAGTGTAATATTGACATCTGTATTAGTTTGACGAGCTCGCGATTACAAAACCTTCGCATTGTCTTCTTGGCTCTCGCATTCTCGAGACGATCTCAACCTATCGGTGATGATTCCCTTGCATTATCATGCTTGGACCACGAACGTTCCACCGGCTTTCTTTTTTTATATTTTATTTTATAATCATCTCGTTTCGATACTACGCGTCGTTTGAATCTGTCAATTTTCACATAATAGGTGGACATTAAAAGATTCTAATTATAGCTCGTAAGCGATTATTCCGTCTCAACACAATACTTAAAATTCGAAATTCATATATTAAGCGTATGCATTTATATTATCCGTGTGCGTAAAATCAGCAAAACTAATATCCGTATGGAAAATCACCGCGTTTCTTGATTTCTTTTTGTTTTTTTTTTTTTTATAAAAATAGCGACAACGAATTTTTTTCGCGAACTTTTCTCGTCAACTTTTGCAATGCAACGAAAGTTAACACAGTCGGTTTATTATTTTCGATGACACAAAACAACTACATTATTACACTTTGAATTATTTTCTAAAATTAAACAATCCCATGTGCGAATCACGCATCTGCCACTTACGAATAATCAGATGACCCTTGAAATTGTTCATCGATCGTACTTTTCACAAAAGTGACGACTAATTTTAATTTACATAAGCATTCATTAATTCATGTCCGTGAAAACTTTTAGTAAATTTTACTACACACACGCACGCACGCACCCACACACTCACACTCACATTGAGAATGAATCACAATTTTCATCATTAGAAGTTAATCAATATCTTTTATCAATTTATTATAAATATCTCTCGTGAAATTTACTCAAAGTTTTTGGGGAAAAAAATTCAGAAAAGAATCCAAAGCGTAAAAACTTTCCTATTACGTAAGCAATTAATAATAACAACAGGCAATAAAATTACGAAGGGGTTTCTGCCATATGAAAAGAAAATTATACAAGCGATTCCATTCAACGAGTCGTCATTATGATATAGCTTTACGACACATAACAAACACATGACATTCAGCTTTCTCATTATCCTTGAAATTACCAATAGAGCGACAATGGATTTGTGGAGCTCTGCATCTGCACTAATCTGCATCGCAAATATTTCATACGTGGTCACACACTGTATTTTTTTAATTTATCTTCATTTTTTCACTGTTTTTGTTCATATTTCATATTTCATAAGGGTCTTCGCCTTTCTTAATTCGTTCGTGTTATGGGGGAAATTGGGAGTGGGACAGAAGGTGATATTTGGGACGATCTCGATAAAAGGATTTTAGTTTATTTATTCTTTTTTTTTTTTTGTTTTGTTTTTGCTTTTGTTTTTGTTTTTGTTTTTGTTAATTATATTGTATGAGGCAAGTTTTTTTCCATTCAAGTACAGATATATTCAGTACGTCATAGCAAACATCGGTGACTATTTACAATAAATACAGTCAATTACATATCATTAAATATAAATAAAATAAAATATATATGTATATATATATATATATATATATATATATGTATATGTATATATGTATATATATGTATATGTATATGTATGTGTATGTGTATGTGTATATGTATACGCAATGTCGTATGTCGTATCGTTAATTTTAGTTATCATTACAGTAACACGTGACAATAAACAATTAGATCAGCGGCATAAAATAGTATATGTCTTACTAAGGTAGTGGTCGTAGCTATATTTTACAATAGCGCGTCGTCGCTGCTGAGAAATTTTCATTTTTCTCTTACCGTTCACTGTGTTCTCCACTTATTTCCATTCGCTCAAATCTCGGATATCTCGAATCGTTTCCTTTCTGTGCCTTGGGCTCACTCTCACCTAAATTCACTTTTCCTTTCTTTCTTCTTCTTCTTTTTTCTTCTCTTAAATAACTATCTGTTTCTACTCTCTTTCTTTCGTTTATTTGTTGCCCCCACTTTTTACATTTTTTTAGTCAGTATTCATGACTTCGGTATAGTTTCTAACTTTTTTTTCTTCGATTTACGCTCGCTCGGCTCTCATTCCCGACTATTAGATTATAAATCCTTAATTACACTTTGATTTGCATTTTAATTGAGCGTACTCGATCTGTACTTACTTGCCACCTTCCAAATACACTCCCCGTTACCTGGTTATTAAAGTATTTCTCTGCTTAATTGTGGCTTTACTTTACTTTAAACTTTTGCCTCCTTTATTCGCTGTAGTAGTAAAAAGCTGACGTAAAAAAGATTTTGCCGAAAGCGCGCGTCACTTTGCGATCGCGTAATTTTTACATTTTTTTTTTTTTTTTTTTTTTTTTTTTTTTTTTTATAACAAGCATCACAAGAAAGAGTTGTGTATTTAGGGATGTACTCGACAACGTGACGCGCTTATTTAGTTTATTTGGTATCTGAGAGAGTGTATGTACGTTTCTGTGTGATTCTGTATTTAATGAGTACGAGATTTTTTTTTTCCCGTTAAATTCATGATTTTTACTAATAGGAGACTCTTAGAGTTTTTGCACCTTAACATTTTTCAGTTTAATTTCTATTTGTTAAGAAATCGGGAACGGATTCGCTCTTCAATGAAGTATTATTATTCTAAATAATTCTAGTAGTTTGATGTGTAAATTTAAAATTAGCAAGGGTTTACTTTTGACGATACAACATACAATTTAGAATTAATTAAATTCGAAAATTTGTATTCTTTGTTTTATTTTTGTGTTTTGATAGTTAAGATTGGCAGCTAATCTCATTAAATTTTACACATTTTGTATTAGCATTAGGAAATAAATTTGATAATTTTTCTTTCAATAGGAAACTCGTTACGCATTTCTTCTAAGCTGTTCATACATGTATTGATTTATGATCTATACAATTTATATTCAATGGATTATATTAAAAAAATTTTATATAAAATACAATTTATAATCATGAATATATATATATATATATATATTATAAAACTTATGTTTATAAAAATCTAGTGAATATCGTTAAATTGATAAATTATTAACTTCAAAAAAATCGAATCCGATCCCTGCAAGAAACGACAGGACTTTACCCTTATTTTAAACAAAACGTAGAGCGCGACAATTCTTTTTAACCGTGGAAGTGAAAAAATCGACCGATCTTTCTCGTAATCCATTTTCTTTTCTCTATAGTTATAGTTTTATTTTTAACGCACATTTAATCATACGTTATAAACCGATTCTTTTATTTTATTTTCATATTGTTTTTATTAAAAAATAGTTGTTTCAATTAAGCCTCACGTAAATTTGCGACGGCGTGTTATGTATTTTATCATCTCTTACAAGCTCTCTCTTTATTTCCTCTATTCTCATTTATTTATTTATAGAATGCATTATTTTTTTAATTTTTAATTTTTTAAATATTATATATACGTAATAAGGTGCGACGGTGCGTGTTTAGATGATCACGACTCGAAACTGTCGCTCAATCGGAAGAAGCCAGCCGTTGAGATACAGAATGGAATAAGTGTCAGTCTCAACACTCTCGAATTTTTTTTTCTGTTTTTCTTTTTCTTCATTTTCTTTGTCTTTTTATCGTTAATTGTTATTTTTAATTTTTAATTTCCTTTTCTTCAAAAGATATTTATTTATTTCCAAGCTCGCTCACGCGCCTAGTCTTAACGGTTCATTTATTTTATACATCTAGTAGTTATTTTTTATCTATACCAGACAGTAATATCGTTGTTCACTATCTAGCCATAAGGACGCCACTATATATATATATATATATATATATATATATATATACATACATACATACATATGTTTGTGCGTGGGCATGAATATGTATATATGTATATAATTTATCTCTTTATTTCGCGTGTATATTAAATCCTTCTGCATGCACACATACCTTTCTGTATTTTTTATTTATCTCATTCTCTATGTCTCTCTCCATTTTTTTTCTCTTACACACACACACACACACACACACACACACACACACACATATATATATATTCTCTCTCTCTCTCTCTCTCTCTCTCTCTCTTCCTCTCTCTTTCGTTCCCTCATAAATTTATTTTAATTTACTCGGCAGTATCGTACGCTTTCTTATTTCATGAAAGTAATAATCTGCAAAAGGTTTTCTTTATAATTGGAATATTTAGGTTTGCACAGCGAACGAATATTTGAGAGGCGGACGCAGATGCTAAGTAGAAACTCATAAGTGTAGAGTTCTGAATTTTCTTCCTTCCGTTTTATGTCTTTTTTTACAAACGAGTGATCGGTAATAAAAAATACTTTGATTCCGTTTCATAAAACATTTTGTACTTGATAATACATTTGAAAACAAATTTACATCTCTTTTTATTCTTTACAAGAGAATGATATTTTTGGACTTTTATTTATTCATACGGCACGTGGAAGAATCGAAGAATTCAGTATATAATGATGATAATCTGAATCGTAATTGACATGGGATACGACGAGTTAGTTACCATCGAGACGATTCAGTTCAAAAAATTTAACTTAGAACTTTAGTACAAAAGAAATATTATAAATAAATGCGTGTCGCATAAATATTAATTGTTTTTGGAACAATTGGAATCGCTCAGTTTGCTTTTCTTAAAAAATATCAATTAATATATTCAATAACTAATAAAAAATATACACTTTCCCTAGATATCTATAATTACATATAAATTTAATTCGACTTTCGTTTATTATTGAGTGGGCAGGTGTACGTGTGCGTGCGCGTGTGCGTGTCAGTGTGCCACTGCATGCGCGACTGCGCGAGCGTATGCACGCTGTAGGTGTGTGTGGATTTTTGTCCGCTAAAATTGAAAGATGCCGATAAGAAAAAATACGCGTAGTTCGCAAATAATAATCGTATAATTGCCGAATGAATAAACTTACAATGTGTCCAGCTTCGTAAAACTGTATCCGTTTTGACAGCCAATTATAATAATAAAATACCCCGATTTCCACGGATATATACGCAATATAACCACCGTAAGCAGAGTTACGCGTCTAATACACGTTATTCTTATATCGACAATTAACGAGTTTTATGTCATTACCTATATATATATATATATATATATATATATATATGTATGTATGTATATATAATTATATCTATACATACATACATATTTATATATTTATATTGTTAAATCAGTCGCGTTGTTTCTGTCATACGCTCTCGCTCACATTTCCAATATTATGCATGGTTGGAAAATTTTTCACGGCAAAATATTTAAACGTGGACGCTATGATAATGTTAGGGTACATAACACACTCGCGATTTTACACAGCTTCATTCTCTGACGTTCACGCTCCATTTAAAAAATACTTCTCGTGCTTCCCCTCCTCCCATTGCATCACTTATAAAGCACCACGAAAAAATCTCTCGTACACGGTCCACCAGCCAAATTGTCCGTTCCAGTGATTCGAGAAAGAAAAGATTTTCAAGACTTAAGATCCACAAGTTAGTGATGGACTGCGCGAGAAGGTCTGCTGCTACGAGTGCGCGTACATTTACTCCTTGAAGATTTTCGTTTACCGAATTTTCCTCAATCCCCATGGCTTTGTACAATTCTTGATGCAAAACATTATTTTAGCCTCGCATGACCGACAATTTTACAATGCCGTGCTTTTACATTTCATTGTTTCGGTACATCTAAATTACCAACTTCGATCATCTACGAAAACTTCCGATTCTTAACTAAAACATAAACAAATAATGAATAAAAAAAAAGAAAAAGCATACACAGTTCCACGTAAGATGTTTCATTGATCGTGGAAAATTGATCTTTAAATACTCGGACTATTTTCAATGGAACAAAGGTAAATAAAACGTTCGAGTAAGGATCGATACGCTCGGCAACGAACATTAAAAATTACTCGTTAAGACAAGTCCGCTTTGTCGTTCGAGCATGAATAAATGCTGCGACACCAAGAACTCACGAAAACGATTTACCTTTCAAACCCTAAGAACCACGAGTTATTTTCATATACTGTTGGAAAGTACGTGACACGGAGAAAGGACACTCCTCCGACCCACTGCCTATCGTCTGTCGGACAGTGTCCATGCGTTTATCCGCGAGAAAAAGACACACACTCGAGCACGACCTTCCCCTATTAAAGCTACGTATTGACTAGGTTCATTATCATCCAGCTCATAGCACTCGCGCGCACCAAATTCACCAAATTATCTCTCTTCCCTATCCCGTAACGACTACTGGCCCGATGTAGCCGAGATCCTTTCGTCCCTCGCATTCCTTTAGGCTCACTCACACGTCGCAAGCGGTCGCATCCTCTTAGCGTTCGAAGCGATAGTTTTCAATTCATAATTATTATAGTTACCAATGGCGAGTATCGAAATAAATATCTAACTCTCGTTTAGACGTCTCCCGGCTCTACGTGTCTCTCTCCTCTCTCTTCTCAGCCCCCCGCACACACACACACACACACATACACACACACCCCAAACCCCAAGCACTCGTCAGCCTTCGCGCACTTGGTCCTGCCTGGTCAGTGTCCCCGCATGGCGCCGCCAAGCTCGCGTTATGTTTTTTTTTTCTTTTTGTATCTTTTTGGCATCTTGCAAAGTACACAATATAGACTTTGGTAAAAAAAAAAGAAAAAAGAAAAAAAAAGGTGGAGATAAACGAGGACGAACCGGCCTAGCAGAACTTGTCGAGCCACCAGATGTTACAGGCCGAATTGGCACGCCTGCGTCGCCTCTTGCCGCCGCCCCCGGCCTCCAGGATTTTCTTCACGAATCGCACGTTGTAGGGGTCCTCGGCGAGCTCCGGGTACAACTGCGCCTCGTGCACGTACTCGGCCTCGTAGCTCGCGGCTAGGCCGAGCTTCACGATCTCCTCCTGCTCGGCCGGCGTCCACTCGATACTCGTCGGCGCATTGGCCTTGAGCGCTTCCTTCTCCCGGTGCCAGGCCTTGCGCACCGCGCTCATCTTCGCATGGTGAAGGAGCCGCTGCCGCTCCTTGTCCGCGGTCGTGCCGTAGCGCAGATTTATCACGTAGCTCAGCCCGTGGATCTTGACGTCGGCGAGGGAGCCTGGTCCGACGGCGCTGCCGCCCCCGCCGTCATGGAACGTCGTGTTCACTTGGCCACCGAGGCGCTTGAGCTGGCCTTGGTCCTCCGGTGCGCGCCACGTTTCCTCCTTCACGAAGTAAAACGCGTCCTGCTGCGAGCTGTGTACGACGAACGTGAACGGCAGGAAGTAGGACTCGTTGAAGACCGTCGTGAAGACATCCTTATAGATCGAGTTAGCCGAGGGGACGCTCGAGACGACCGCCTGGCCGCTCTTCGTCCGCGACACGAGGATCCCCTTGCCGAAGGGAGGCTCCGAGGCCGCGCCCAGTCGGCTCGGTATCAGCTCGGAGATGTCCTTCTTGAGGGCCGAGCGCGGGGGTGCGGAGAGGCCGACGGCATCACTCGAATGGCGCTGATGGATGTAGGCGAGGAAACCCGACTGGACACCGAGGTTGCCCTCGCTCTTGCGCTTACCTAGGATCGAGCTTGCCGGTTCCATGGTCGGCGGCACCAAGCTGTTCACCAGGTTCTTCGGAAACAGTTGGGGCGCGAGACTCTTCAGGTCGTAGCCAAGATTCGACAGCCAGCTGGTGTGATCTGAAAGTAAGCGTTAAGGTTTCTTTAAGACTAAGCTTACTCTTTATCAGCCGACACTCTAGGCTATTTTAACATCGAGATCTCCCCCCTCCCTCCTGTTTCCTTACATAATATGCATCTCGTGCATAACTAATTTGAAGATCTTTTAAAAAAACAACAACAACAATAACAATCTTCGAATTTCGGTGAATCGACAAATATGAAATTGCCGAACTTTGGAGCGTTAATAGAAGAGAGGGAGAAAGTGCAATAGCTTTTCGTATTTTCTTTTTGAAACGGGAAGATTATTATATATTGCACGCAATGTCACGACATGAATATACAAACATTATTAAAATGCGACTTTTGTGAGCAGAAAAATTAAATTTAATGGTCGACAGTGTGCAGTTCGTTAATGGCGTTAAAAAAAGATTGTCTCTATGTGGAAAAAATTAATGAAAAGTATTGTAAAATTACTAGTTAATGTAAAAAGACTTTGAACGCATAGGGCTCTTTATTTAATTTTTTTATATGAATATTTTTTGTCTTTTTAGTTTATAAATATGAAATACAAGATTTTAAAGTTTTTTTTGTAGATTGATTACCAATAATAGTATCAATTAATAATAGGATAAATTAATTATAATAAAATTTATAATAATATGACTAATTTTCGTTTTTTCCTAATGAAATTATACGACAGTATGGTATTATTAATTATTGTTTTTAAATAATATGGAAAATAATTAAAATAACAGTCAGTAATACATTTGAGTTTGTGTTTTATGAAATATTACACAAAAATAACTGCAATTTGCATAGAATTACAAGATAGAAAATAATTTTCAGGATTTTAATTGTTATGGATAATAAATTTGTAAATAATTTATACCTGAAATGCGTAAAATCCGAAAGGAACCTTGATAATACGTAATAGGTATTTTATAATTATAAATAAATTTTTAAGTGCATTTCCCAACCAAACCTTCGCCTAGGATATCAATAATAATAATTATTTGTTGTAGGCAGGAATTTTTATATATAAAATTGACCTTCACACGATTGATAAAATGCATTTTATTTAAAAAGTATTAAAATATCATTTGCTTTTATAATAATGAAATTATATTGTTATATTATGAGTTGAAAAATACGGGTTAACAGCTGTGCTGCGTTGACAACAAAATTATCCTTGCATATAATCTACAAGTGTTTCAACTTCGCAAAACTTCACTTTGGCTTTGTTTGAATATTTATGATTTCAAAAATGAATATTTAAATGTTTGTGCCAGACTTTTATTAAACGATCAAAAACGTCTTTAAGAAGAAATTCAATTTTGTGTTTGAGTATGTTAAAAAAGCTCTAATTACTAATGTTAAAAATATTAATAATAAAATTATTAATAAAAATTATTAAAAGTAATTAATTGTTATTAAGACTGCATGATCGACATTTATCGATATTTTCGATATTATCGATATTATCGACAAACATCATCGATATTTAACTGTTGCAATAAGTCATAAGCATGAATAGTCTAATTAGCTTTTATTGATAAAGAATTTTGAAATGTTAATGAACGATAGCCTCCCTAACCCCCTGCGCATTGAATATAAATATAACGATTTTAAATGACTTTTGTCGATTATTATGTATTGTATGGGCAATTAATATTTTACAACAGAGCTGACAAACGAGTGCGGTTAATAATAAAATTAAAATTCCTTATATGTTCCATTCGTCGAATGCGCAACTAGCTTATCTCATTCATCATAATTATTATGAAATAAGCAATTAACTTACCAGTAGGAAGATTATTTTTTGAGGAACGTCGAACATCAACCGGATCATTGCCATTAAAACGGTACAAATGCAAGTGCGTCGGTTTTTGTAATCTATCGAGAACATTTTCCCAAAGCGGAGACATCCATTGACCAATAAGCGGATCATAAACTTTGCCGTTTGGCATGTGAACCAAGGTCGTTATCTATTTTGAATGAAATAAAATCGTTTAGCGTATATGCATGCACATGTATGTGCGTATATGTGCGTATGTGTGCGTGTGTGTGTGTGTGCGTGCGTGTGTGTGCGTGTGTGCACGTGTGTAGGTGTGAGTGCGTGCGTGCGTTCATGAAATAAAATGTTAAACGTAGAAAGAGAATCGTGAATTGGGCTCGTTATCAAATGAAATTAACGTTAAAAAACTTCCTTTAATTTAGACGTTCCCTTCTTTCGATCAATAATGCCGACATGCAAAAATATGGTATATTTACCTGGTCGAGTAAACCGCCGCAAAAGTCCACTGGCAGATATAAATATGGATTAGAATCGTAGATAATGTGCCCATAGGGCGATCTCATAATCTCCCTGATGCCCTCTCCATATTGATTGAAAATCATTATGGGCGTGCCACATTGATCGGTCGCTATATAATACTTGTGTCTGTAGATTTGCGCATATATCAAATGCCCTCTGTCATCGTATACCAGCGACATTAACTTCCCATCTCTTGGGCTGTAAATCTGACTGACCTCGTAAGGCCTCTTCTGATTATTATAGAAGAATTGCGTGACGTTCCCGTAATTATCCTTGCGCGCAGCCAGCCGATCCAAATGATCATAGTAATACCTAACGTCAAATCTGCCTCTCTTAGTTGCTCTAACCAGCAGACCTTTAGCGTTATAATTGAATCGCTCTTCCCGCGCATTCTGAATCACTAATCCACGATTGTCGTACTTGTACAGACCCTCGCCGAACTTAATGATTCTGTCCATTGAATTGTACTCCATTGGAATTGTGTTGCCTCGATAAGTCAACGATAGCATGTTCCCGTTCACGTCATAACGAAAGCCCCATGGTTCCTGCGCCTCGACTCCTGTCAATTGGCCATCCGAGTCCCACGTATAGTTCTTCACGTTGGTGTAGGTATTAACACCCACGTTCCTTGTATAAGTACGCGTCTGATTGATTCTGCCCCTGGAGTCGTGAGTGAACTCCATCTTGAAGACCTCGAGGCCACGGATGGTAACGGTGATGTGCGTCTCGAGGAAGCGCAGATCGGTCGTTCGCGAGAATATGGCCGTGTCGTCGTGAACGGACGTCTCGTTTAAATATCGCCTCGACACCTTGAATTGGCCGATCTGCTCTAAGCTGCCGGTCTTGGGACTGTAGGACATCACGTGGGACGGCAGTGTCAAGCCACCGATTCTCCCTTGCACCGAGACTAAGCGGAAGTTGGAGTCGTAGTCGAAGGTAAACTTGGCGTTGCTGAGGCCCGTTTTCGCCCCGAAATCGATCCTCTCCTCCACGAGCAATCCCGCGCTATACTGATAATCCCACTTGTACTCTACGTCGCGCTCCGAGTGGATGACCTCAGCTGGCAGCCCAACCTCCGTGTAGAGCATCTCGCTCTTACCATCGCCGTGCACGACCTCGGCCAGCTGACCGGTCGTATGGTAACGATAGACGATTCGCGCGCCATCCCCTGGGAATACCGTTTGCAGGAGGTTCCCCTCGTGGCTGTAGTGCTGGAGGTAGGACCTCGAGCTGCCCGGCGGAGTGTAGGTGACGCGCATGAAGCCGAGTGAAGCTTGACAGGAGAAGGAATGTTTCGTACCGGACGGCAGAATTATGTGCCTCAGGCCACCGTCGTCGTCGTACTGTAGCGAGAACTCCCTCGCGCTGGCCAGCGTCACCTTCGACAGTGTATTCAGGTCGTTATACGTGTAAGTCTTGGTACCGTCTTGGCTGTTGGTTATCTGGGCCAACTGGCCGTGCCTGTCGTAGCCGTAGGACTCGTCGGACGGGCCCCACTGCCAGCTCTGGATACGGTTAAAGCGATCGTAGCTGATGCTGAGGTTGTGGCCATGTTCGTGCGGCTGCCACGAGAGAGGCAACCCGGCTGGGTCGAAGGTCACCGTAAGCAACGGCGTGCGGTATTTATCATAAAACGTTTCACGGCTAAAGGCTTGCTCGAACTCGACGCTCACTATTCGCGAGTCGTTCACCCATATCTCGCGATTCAGGGTCTGCTGCAGGTGACTCGGGTCCCCGACGAGATTGTAGGTCGTCGTCATCGTATTGGTTAATTCGCCGAGCGACATCACTTGGTAGCTCCACATTGGTAGCATTTCGGCTTCGACGGGTAAGGAGGCTTTCAAAAGCGGATGCTTCGTCATTGCCGCACTCGTGATGCGACCACCGCCCGGTAGATTCACTTCCAACGTACTATTCGTGAAGGCCGTGGCTCTCTTTATCATCGAGCCTGAAAAAAGCATAACGAGTTCCTAGGTTTTAGACCGACTGTTATTTCAAAGACCCGCAGCTAATGCGAGCTGATGCACTGCTTTGCACTTTGGTGACAATTTTACAAGAATTTTGCATCTTAAGAAATCCGTCGGCATTTTAAGTGGGAAACCGAGGCCAAGATTATAATCAAAATAGAGGTCACGTTAATATATGTAATTAAATACATGTATAAAAAGTGAAGATTAGTTAGAATTTGTGCGCATACAAAATGAATGAATGTTGAAGGCGAGGAATGATAAGAGATAACTGAATAGACGATTTGGAGGATCAATCATTATGTAAAAGGCATGCGAAAGTGAAAATAAATAAGCCGATACATTTGTATAAGAGCCGTTATTACACTTGGTCAAAAAGTTTTTACAAAGTTCTCGGTCTTAAAATTTGCCGAGAAAATAATGATCCTTACCGTCCGTAATGGTGAGCATCTTCGAGCGTTCATTTCTCATCTTAAACTCCATAAATCGTTGCTTATCTCCGCGCTTTAGAGCTTGCAATGGCGCAGCCACTTTTACAGAAAGACCTTCATCGGTTGAAAGATCGGATGTCAGCTTGACTTTTTCTCCGGTAGGTAAAATGACGTCTGTTACTCGACCCAGGTCATCATAGTTATATATGTAAGTTTCACGTCCCTAAAAAAAAAAATAATAAAAAACAGGATAATAAATTTAAAATGAGCGATCAACTGGACCTGAAACGTCGCATTTCATTTTATTGGGTTATAAATTCCTATAAAGTTCATGTGAGTTCTAAAATCATACGCGATAAAATTATTCAAATTCCTCCCATAATAAACTAATAATTTCAGAAAATTGTATTCAGTGATAAAGCAATTTTTTATTCAAATTAACCATTTTATGCTCTAATTGCCAATATGCGCTACTATTATATTTGTCAATAAATATTAAAATAAGATGGTTAGCTGTGAAATAAAAGTACCGTTATTTAGCTACGGAAATTTATAAAATCCAATTATGAATATAATTTCATATTAAGTGAGAGAGAGAGAGAGAGAGAGAGAGAGCGAGAGAAATTATGCAGTTATACTGAAGAAAAAAAAAAGTAAAATGAAATTTACATGCTCAAGGTTCAATTCAATTTATTCAAGAACACGCATACATCGAATTCTAATACAGCTTCGTTAAAATCCATTACCGATTATATTAATTCATCAATCGAATAAAGTCTTGCAAACAGAAGAGTAGATTATGTTTTTTATTTTTTAAGGAATAAAAAGAAGATACCAAGCTCCACTCTTCGTGTGCAATAAACTCGAGGGCATAGATGCTACTACTACTATATGAACTTTTTGTTCGCAGCATTTAAATACTTTATATATGCAATGCCGTAACACTCGTGTAATAATAATATATGCAAATATCCTCTAAATGCACTTGTTACGTAGACGCGTTTCCCAACGCTTTATATGATTCTAGAATATCTTTTTAAGGTTTTTAGGACACGGATTTTAAAGGAACATAATAAATGTAAGTTATTATATAACTTACAGTATCATTTATACGCATTTCTATTTTCCCTTGCCTTATTCGACTGTAATAGGCAAGGTAATATTATTAATAATGCCCTTTTTCATGATTGTTTCAAATATATTTAAGTTTATACATACATCATAAATATGTAAAATAAAATCTTTATGCGTAAAGCATTATTTTGACGTACAACAGACGTAAAAATTTATATCGTGAAAAAGACAGTTTTAATGACGCGCGCTCGAAATTTTATTAAAATTTCGTATAAATTTTTTTTTAATTTAATAAGACTCGTAGCATAAAAAACAATATTTTATCCTATTACAAAGTTAGATTAAACTAAATTATTCGTACAATGCATTTGGGAAACAATGTAATTTTAGCAGTTGCTTATTATTACTTTAACACGAGTAAGGCTTGAAGGTGTGAAATGATGGAGCATCTCGATACTTTAATTAACTTTTATGAAAGAAATTACGTGCGTATATTGCAAGCGCGCTCGTGCACTTTATATGTACGTATTACGATCAAAAATCGATGTTTCGATATCTTCTCGCATTTTATTAGTATATTAATTTTTGTAACAAGTGCTTAACAGCTATTGATTTCGATTTCGGAGAACCCTCGGTTTGTCGTTTATTGGTTCCATCTGTATTATACGCTCGAACTTTATTTAATTTCTATTCTTTTGAGTGCTTCTTCCCTCCCCCCCCCCTCTCTCTATCTCTTCCCTCAGACATGCGATCCAAGAGGACGAGCATAAAAAAGAAAGAACAGAGAGAGAGAGAGAGAGAGAGAGAGTGAGAGAGAAAATAAGCACTCGAATATTATTATATAAGTTGATCGATTCTGATATTACACGTAAGATGTATTTCACCCGAACAGAACGATTCAAATGACTTATGTAAGTGATTCGAGAATCTTATTGGCTTTATATCTTGTTGTGGAAAATCGGCGGGGGGGGGGGAGGCAAGAGCGAGGCAAGCCCATTACTTTCCTTTCAAAACGAGTCAAATTGCATAACAAGCGCAGAACGGGCGAGCTACCGCAGCCACACCACCGCCGCTGTTATCTCTGTCTCTACACCCACCGCTTCCACCCTCTCTCCCTCCCACCTCCCATCTCATCCAAACCCCACCGCACCGCTATATTACATCCTCAAAGAGATGAATCAGACGAGGAAGAGCGCGTACGTACATTAAGCTATCGCTCGCTCACTCACTCCCATCCTTCTTGCGTCCCCAAGAACAAAGATACTTACCCCGGATCTGCTCGTCAGCAGTCCTGTGTCGCTGTCATAACCAAGCGTGATTTCCGCCCGACCTTTTTCCGAGAGACGCTCGAGGAAGCCGACTCCCGATATCTTCAGCTCCGACTTGTGATCCTGCGTGTTCTCGATCGAGCTCACCGCGTTACTGTAGTCCCGCAAGAACTGTATCTTATTCCCTGCGCTATCCGTCACCGTCGACAGCTTCCCAAAGCTCGTGTTCTTGCTGTAGAGGAAGGAGTAGCGCGTCTTGCCGGACGTCAGGTCCTTCGTCGCCACGTGCTGGCCATACCTGTGGAGACGATACTTACTTCCGAGAACTTTCGTCAGGAGGATCGTACTTTTTGCGCTCGAGTCTCGCAACGCCGAGTTTTAACGGTGCCAAGGAGTCTAATGCATCTAAGTCGTTTAGTCTCGCACCTCTTCTATTCCCCGATTATTGAATTGTGAAATAAACCGTTTGGTTTCCTTCGTGTTCGCTTATCCCTCGTCAGAGTTTGCCTAATGGCGTTGCACACCGTCGCGATCCAAATCTCGTCAAAGCAGCGAGCCCGCTAATCTTACGATTGCGCGCTAATCAACCGACGTGTGATTTATGGGAAATAAATTATTTAGGGAGTACGAAGGGGCGATGATGCTTTGCTTTAAATTCTAAAGAATATTCAGCGACATTATTATTCTTTTATTCATAATCCAGACGATTGCCATCAATTAAGCAATTATATTTTCTCATACACTAACATTTACGAGAACGAGCGAAATAAGTGTCAAGGCAATACTAATTAAAATGATTATATTATGTTTGAAAATTTACAAATATCAACCGGTAAGTGTCTTTAGATACAACGAAATAATTATTTATGGCACAATGTACGGGGATTGTGTAAATAAGCGATTCCCGGTATTATTAAAAGAAACAACAAATAAAATCCTGCGCAAGTGCATAAACGCATTTAGAAATCATCGTAGCGGAGCACAAGGTGGAATGGGGTAAGTAAGGTGGGTGGGAGGGGAGTTGGGAAGGGCGGTGGTGGTGATGAGAGGCAAGCGTACCGTACGGAGGTCGCAGGCAAGGTGACAGGTATAATGGGCGTATCCGTGCAACGGACATTGTCACACAACTGACCTGTTGAAGACGTAGACTTCGTTGGAGGGTGGGAAGGGAATGTTAAATTCGCCGCTGTCATCGTGGTTGGGCAGGTAAGGCTGAAGCGCGAGGATGTGCAGGCTTCCTTGATCGGCAACGTGCAGAACGCCGTCGGGCGAGACGGTGAGGGCGGATATGGAGATGAACTTGGCGTTGGAGGAGAGCAGAGTCTCGGCGTTACTGGACTCGTCGCTGCAGGCGCAGGTGGCCTCGAGGTCGACGGGGCTCGGTGTGGTATTGTTGCACTCGCACTGCTCTCTCATGTCCTCGCGTTGCTGCTGGCCGGCAAAGTGCGACATCTTGCCGGCCGAGTCGACCACGCGGATGGTGTTGACGCGGTGGGAATCGCGAGCCGCGATGTAGAGCTCGCCGTTGGGCGAGAAGGCGACCGCGAGGACCGATCCTAGCACCTCGTCGGTCCTTTTCAGGGTAAGCGCCGACATCGAGGAGTTGAGGAGCTTCTGAAGCTCGGCGCTCCCGATGCCGCTCGCGCAGTGCAGCGGCGTCCCGGCGACGACGCGGACCTTGAGGTCGCTCGTCAGCTTGAGGACGAGGCGGTCGTCGATGAAATGCAGCGAGCCGTCGAGGGGGGAGAGGCTCAGGCCCGTCGGCCACTGGAGCTGGGCCTGCTGGGCGGGTATGGCGCCGATACACGGGGCCGGCGACCAGTGGTTGTGGTGGCCGTGATGTCCCACCAGAGTATGGATTATGCCGCCCGGATCGACCGCCCGGATATTCGTCCCGTCCGCAATGAACATTGTCTTATCCGCTGCAATGACGATACCTGAAACGCGACGATGGCCCCGAATTTTCGGATTAATTTATTCGCGCGCAATTGGACCAAAGTCGTGGGATGTCATCTCATTGATCGGGGAGCCTTCGTTAGTTAGCTTCAGCCAATTTCGAGACTCCCGGAGCTGATATCGGCGATAGAGACTACTCGCAGTATATATATATATATATATATATATATATATATATATATCTCATAAATTGCATTTAACGATGATAGTTTAAGGAGCCAAAGGATTTATGAATATAAATAGCTCAAATATCGGCGATACAGAGTAATCCAATTAATATTCTAATATATTGTAATGCGTCTTCTGTGTCGTGGTAGGATAATGCGAAGGGCATGGAAGGGCCATAGAATTGGCGTTTGATGTATGTTTTTTTTTTTTTGATTTTTTTTTTCAGCAGTCACGAGCTTTCTTCATGAAAAGCAATATTTTTTTCTATTTGAATTTTCTATTTTTTTTTTCTATTTGAAATTTCTATTTTTCGTCCGCTTAATCCGAAGTGAGAGTACTTGAAGACATACGAGGTAAATTTTGCCTTTAAAACTCAGCTAGTTATTGAGGATCTTATAAATGGCATTTAAATGTAGAGTCAAGCAGATGAACAAATAAGTGATTATGAATTATATTTAACCGTACGTACGAATTAATAATCTTTGGGGCGAATTTCAGATCGCGATCAAGTGCTTCGCGAACTTATGCATAATGAGAATAAATATTGCTATAATTGTTGGTTTTTCATACCTTTAGGATGCGCGAGTTTGGCTTTATCAGCTGGTCCCTCGTCTCCGCAATGTCCCTCGTCTCCGGGAATGCAACGCTCTCCATTCCCAACCACCGGTTCAATATTTATTCGCGGATCTTTGACATCATTGAGCGCAAGCGTTCGTAGAATCTGATGTTTCTCCGGATCACTGATGTAGAGATGCCCGTCAGCCGGAGATACGCAAAGATAATATTGATAAGCAACTTGCGTCGCCCTGAAAATGAAAAGAAAACATTCTTTTGTAAACGAATTCGCAAGCGAATTTACTTCGCCGCCGTCCTTCGACCAATGATATTTAAATTACGCATTATATAAATGGCTTTTATAATAAGCAATTGCGTAAGCGCTAGTACATTGAAGATTCTTTTTTCTCTTATTTGTTAACTAAACTTTGTGTATATATGTATATATATATATATATACATACATATATATATATATATATGCTATCGTAAAAGACAGCAGCATTATTTACAATTAACAAGAAAAGAAGAACGATCGCACTGCTTTTCACGATGACATACTCGTTTTTTAATGCGACGATCACAATAATTTCATCTCACAATTTAACAGTTCTCGTTTAATTCAATTGCAGTACAGTTTTAACGTTGTTATACGATTCGAACGTCCGAGCACGGGGCTATAATTTTTTTTTTCTTCCCTCTTCCCCCCGTTTCTTTTAATTATTATTGAGCGATGAGTGGCTTTAGAAGCGGGGCAACTAAACACTGCCAGACTTTTAAAATTTAATAATGTAAATGGAGTAGCGAGGAGCCGTCGGGCATTGACATGTGCCTTGAAAAATTAATGCCCTTCCGCGTTTGACTTACTGCTATTGAAGCCATATCGGCTGTCTTAAATAAAGGCGAGTTGAAGCTAAACATGAGCTTAAACGCCGCTTGAATGCTCGGGATAGGCGCGGGGCGGAGGGAACGCGGAGGGTGATCGAGGCAGAAATTGGATCGGAGTACGGGCGTACCTGAGAATGAGAACAGTGTAAACATCGCCCTCGGGTGTGATGCGTCGCACGAGATCAAAGTCCCCCACGTAAATACTGCCGTCGGGGCCGCTGGTGAGGGCAACGGGCGTGAGGAGCCTCGCGTCCTTAGCGAGGCCATCGAAATTCTGGCCCACCAGATCGCGTCTCTGGCCGGTGCCCATGACCACGTTAACTTTCCTCGGGTACTGCTTGAAGTGTAGGGTAGAGCCGTCTCCCTTCTGCAGTATGCCCTCGTGGAAGTTGTAGTGATGATGTATGTCAAGGCCCCAGCCACCGACGTCCGAGATATCAACGTCGAAGCCCTGGAGGGTGGCAGTTTGCGTTTCCCAGATGATGGACGCGCAGCTCGAGTACTCGTAGCCGATGGAGATGCGTGCTTGAGCCACGCCGTACACCTTCTGCTTATAGACGTTGCGTTTACTCCAGGCAAAGGTGTGGCTGAGATTCGGATCCGCCTCGTAGGTCTTCATGTGCAGGGAGCCCTCGATCTCCACGTGCACGTGAACGTGAGTGAGCGATTTGGGGATGAAGGGTCCGGTCAGTTGCATCTTCACCGACGAAAGATAACCCGCTGCTTGGCTGCTGCGATACATCAGGTGAAGATTCGAGCCAGGGATCGCGATGCTCTCTTGCACGATCTACAAGATTAACGTTAATTGCCATGTGTGCGCGCAATATCCGAATAAGCAGAATTATAAATCCTTTCGATGTATTGGAATTAGTATCGGTAAATGTGGATAAGCTATGTGAAATGTCATGTATTCTTGGAAAAATGAGGAACACAGTTTTTTTCTCCATCTTGCCGTTTTCAATTTTGCTCGAATCGATAGACGAACCGAATTATATTGATAAATCGCAGGTAAAGGACTTGGTGTGTGAAAGAGCACCAGCATGACGAATAGAAAAATTCTCAGTATTAAAAAAATAAACGGTAATTTTACTTTAAGCCTTCGTAATTATATATATATATATATATATATATACGAATGTATGTATGTATGCATGTGGGTACGTATGTATATAAGAAGAAATTTCATTCAGGGTGTATTTTCAACAAATATTTCACAGTATGAGTCATATAGGCATAATGCTCATTCGTAATGAAATTAAAAAATAAACGAGCATTAAAGGATAATACGGATAGAATATTAAATAGTACGTCGCTGAAAAGTCAAATATGTATTTAAGGAAATGAGATACATTTCAAATGATTAATATTCATGATAGATCTACGAGTATTTTTGTTATAAACCATACGAATCACTTCTCAAAACTAAATGTTATTTAAAATTAGACATTTCAAAAGCTTTCTCACTCTCACTGCGATACTTTTTAAAATAATGCCAAGCATAAGGCTCCTAAAATCCATTCAAACGATTCTTTGGAAGAAAAAAGAGGACAATGGCCGCATTATTATGCAAGTAGCTTATCAGGACTTGTACCTCCATCTCCCCACGCCCCTCGCCCTACCCACCTCCCTATAAAAACCCATTAATCTCCGCGAAAAGTGTTATTGTACCAAAAAACAGTCAACGAACCTGAGTTTCGGCGAATACGAGACTTTTCCCTGGCAGGCCTCCAACCTTTTCTGGCATCCATGTGCCGACGATTATTGGACGAAGAGTTTCGTGATCGTGTTCCATGCAGGGTCCGTGCTCGTCGAACAAATTTGCCGAAAAGCCTGGAAAACCTAATGGATCTTGTTTTTTTTTTTACATTACACGATTAGTCTCTCTTTTTCTTCAATACATTGTCATATAAAATAATAGCTATAGTTTTTTTTCTTCTTCTTTAATTTACTATATAGTATTTTTAATGTTAGTGTTGGCGTTAAGATCAATTTGGGAACAAGTGTGTGAAATGTGTGAAGTCTTGCTTATAGCCCAGTTTATAGTGACATCGCGCAGAAAATAATGTAAATTTATGATTATTTACCGTCACACCACCCGATAGTGTGTAAAATAATAATAACGACAATAACAACAACAACAACAACAATAATAATAATAATAATAATAATAATAATAATAATAGCTTGTACGTGTATAGTAGCGATAATGTTAATAATTAAATTCAGTGTAAAAATTAATAAAAGAAATAAATAAATGAGTAAAGAATAAGTAAAGAATGAATGAAGAAATTCTCCGGAATTGTGTCTTTGATGGTCGGGTGAAGCACTTGCTCGTTCTATTATGCAATGCTTGGTAGACTCGAGGATTGCTAAGCACCCTGGCGGACATCCGACAAGAGCTTTATTATAATTCGCGAGTCTGGAGAATTTCTACATTGCCCGTGAGCGTAAGAATATTTGTATTTACCGATGGCCGGACTGGGCAGCTGATTAATCGATTTGAAAGTGTCCCCTTCTTCTCCGATCGTCAGCACCACCGGCGGCAGAACTACAATCTGATTCCACGGAACAAAAACTGTTCGTGTCATTGGCTTGAAGGGGCTTCTTTGGAATTGCAGAGTCACGGCACCTCCGCCATTCACGAGGATGTCGAACCTATTACGAGTTTAATTAACCGTTCAGAGACACGTTTATTCTTTGTAAAATATCCTATTTAATAAAGCCATTTCCAATGATATGAATTACCTCGCCTTGCCGTCATTCGATAACGGAATTTTGCATTCTATTTTTTCCGGCTGGTTTAATCGATAATTGAAAAACTTTGCGCGATTACAAATACACCGCAAAATTTAATTATGCAATGTGAAAGATGAGCTGCAATTATTATCATTGCCGGTAGAATCGATGGTAGAGGCGGTGGCGGCGCAGATCGGCCGGGAAAAGGCTCATGAATTTATTAACTCGGCTTGAAAATCAGCCCTGCATACACAGGTTGCTGTAGCGAGGTAAAAAAGAAAAAAAAAAGAAAAAGAAAAGAAAAAGAAGAAGAAGAAAAAGAGAAAGAAAAATAAAGAATAGAATGCAACGGCTGAGGCTTCATTGAGTGAAATGGCACATACGAACGCCAAATAATGTGGTAACAACTTACCATCCTCCAGCTCTGGTAAGGGTAAACCCGAATTTCTGGTCTTTGTCAATGGAAACTCTGACGTCTATTATCCCAAGTCCCTGCTCAGTTACAACTTGGCCTCTCATCACCGCAACACGGCTGTTACAAATTGCAAATATGACGGTCTGTCCCGCTATTAATTATGTATCTTAGGGTAGCTAAGGCGAACCGGCGATTGTGCGCTGCGGGCCCGATCGCAACACTTATTAATCTCACCTTCGTTCATAATCGTGAGATCGCGACGGGGTAAGGATCGTGTGGCCTGGTCTCCTCACCCCCCGCGGTTTATAAAGGTAAAAAGGCGCGACAGCGGTTCGCAGTTAACTACCCTTTTGAAAGGGTCTGTGCATATCGCTCCCTCTCGCTCGCTCTCCAGCTCTCTTACAACCCCCCCCCCATCTCTCTCTCTCGCTCATCACCCCTCTCACTTTATCGTTCCTCTTTCTCTCTCCTCTCTCCCTCTCTCTCTCTCTCTCTCTCTCTCTCTCTCTCTCTATCTCTCTCCAGAGCCCTATAGCCGTGCACCGATCGATTCGACGGAGCTTCGGGCGCCGGAGGCGGTGGCAGCAGCAGCGGAGCTTCGGTCGGCGGGTTGCGTCCAATGCGGAAATGTAAAATGCCGAATTAAATTCAAGAGCAGCGACGGCGGCGTCGGCCTCAGCGTCGGCGTCGGCGTCGGCGTCGGCGTCGGCGTCGTCAACCCCGTTCGAATCGTCCGGCGACGGCTGCAGGTGCGAGAGGGACCGCGCACTTTCCCATTTTATAAATGCTTATGTATATATATATATATATATATATATATATATATGTAAGAACGAAAGTACTACATTGTTACTTCGAGGCGAAATTTAATGAGGTAGAACTCATGCATATTCATAATCATGTAATAATGTGTTATTGTATTGCTGTTGTGGGGGGGGGGTAGATGTCCGTGTACGTGTTGGTGTGGATATGCGAGTGGATTTTTGTGTGCTCGTGTGTGTGTGTGCGTGTGCGCGTGTTGGTGTAAATGGTGTGCGTGAAGGAAAAATGACGAGTGAGTCGATGCAATGTATAATACAAGCCTGGCATTCGTCTTGGGTGACTTGCCGATGACTTGATACGACAAAACGTCAAATTAAATTTGTCATTTTTCTGTGTCTCGCTATTAACGAGTTTATTGAACATTGTTTATCCCATCGTTTGAACATTGCATATAATTTTATTAGGTCACGAAAACATAAAATTTGATCGTATCGACTATTAATTGATAAAAAAAAATCACTTAATGTGATCTATGCGTAGAATTTATTAAATTTATTCAATGATTGTTAATTTATTTATATTTCAACATTTGTTTGTTTGTTTGTTTGTTTGTTGTTTTTTTTTTTTTTTAGACTAGTCATATTATCCGAATGAAATACACACTGTTTTGTTTCGATCAAAAGGAATAATTTATCGCTCGGCTAATGAGTAGAAGAGGGATTGGTAACAGCGTTCATTTTTTCGTATCAACGATTGAACTAATAAATACGTAAATAATATTGTAATCATCAAACATTCAATTCTTAATGAGTTTTTACATAGACCAAAATAACTCTTCTTTTACCTCGAACGGGAAATACAAATTTCAAAGTCATTAGTTATAACACGACATGTGATTTACGATAAACACTTCAGCTTGTTAACGACCTGAACGATCATGAAACATTTTTTATTTTTTATCAAGATCATGGAATTTTTCGCCACAAGTACTCGTATTTACTAGAAATAATTATGATACAGTAATTTAGTAATTGAATCTTTGTGAATAATCTAAAATTAAGTGTCATTGATAAATTTTAATTACAAATAGTAATACTGGCCATAAAACTCACTATACATATTGAACATTTATTATAAAAACAAAAACAAAAAAAAAATAATAATAAACAAAAAAAAAAGAAAAAGAAAAGAACAAAATAAAATTAAATAAAAAAATAAGAAAAAGAAAAAGAAAAAGAATGTAATAAATAAACAAAAATGAGTAAACAAAATTAATAGGTGAATAAGATTATCTATTTGAAATAAGCAATAAAAGAAATAAGGAATCTATAATACAATTTATAATAAATAACGCTTTCATGAAATGTTAATGAAGTATTGTAATTATTATTAATAATTGATAATTGAATTGTTGAATTATATTGAACTTATTGGCGCAGAATATTTCTGTTGTTATAAAAGAAACATTTGCAGTGGATGAATGACAAGAAATGCATTCTAAAATACTTATATGTTCATATAAAATTACTCTAAAATGCTTTTATCTATTATTAAATTGTGCTAATGACTAAAAATAAAATAAAAGTTTGCTCGTTGATAAATCGTTAATGTACTAAAATTGACCTACCTGATATTTTCATTTATCGAAGACTCAAAAGATATGTAATAATGGCTATTGAATAAATCCCAGTGCACCAACTTACAAAAATTTCACATAAACTAAAAATATGAAAAATTTGTAAATAAATGTTTCTTTGTATAATAACAGCTCTACCATAATTGGCGGGTATCCTTTAATAAGAAATGCACACGGTTATTAGAATTATATTAATTTTCCGGCATGCAATAATCGCGGCTTTTTATCGATGGGCAGCGCACACATACTTCTTTAACATTTCCTATAACAAAAAATTTACTCTCAAAGTAAAAGTACAAATAAACTCTCGCGGGTCGGAGGTTATGGTTTAAGTAAGCTGCTTTTCTTTCCTTCAAAGCTCCATCTTTATTTTTCAAATATACGAGGAGTCGCGAGTCTTTCACCGTCAAGCTATCAATATACCGTCCTTTCCTCATCTCCTTTCATTTTGATCTCTCTTAATCTTTCCTTATCTGTCAAAGAGATGTATCATGATACATCTCCGTTTTCCCTCTCTTTATTCTCCCTTTACATCTCTCTGTCTTTATATCTTTATATCCGTCCGTCTCTCATCTGTTTTTTTATTCTCTCTTTCTCTGTTTTTTTTCTCTTCTCCTATCTCTTTATCTCGAAGTGTCGAGAAAAGTTTTCGCTTTAATCAAGTGTCGAACGGACCTCGGGATGACGGACGTTTTGGGGCGGCAAGCTTGCAGAGTAATTGTTTGGACCGGATGTTGGATAAGTCGGGGAAAAAAGACGAGACACAAGGTTTTGTTGGATTTTTATTTTGGAGCGTTGGTGGTCAATCGGATGGTTTGGTAAAGGCACAGTTTTTTTAGACGCAAGACAAGAAGGTGAGGATCTTTAGGGGACTTCCGGGTGACTTTGTGTGTCAATTCGGTAGACACATTTTCTTTTTAACTTTTTAACTGCATTACTAACGAGGTTATTTAAACTTTGTCTTTAATTTAAGTTTGTTTATTAGTTACGTATCAATTTATTTGATTAGTTTGTATAAAAAATCAATATGATAATTTTACTTTCTTATGATTAGTGTTTTTATATTATACGTTTTATTGTTTAACATAAGTTGGAATTGCGGGTTCATTGATTCATTCCCGATAAATAATATAAATATATAAGTATATATATATATATATATATATATATATATATATATATATATATATATTTGTATGTATAATGCATGTTTATGTAAATAAATAAATATACATATAAATAAATATATATTTATTTATTTATAAATACGTTGTGTGAATGATAAATAAAAATAAAATGCAAATGCTCCAGGACGTTCACTGATTGCTGTTCAGACAAATGGGACTTTAACACGTTTTGTTTTTTGACAATAGGTGACATGTATACGTGAGTGCAAGTCTGGCAATATAACGAACACAAGCCTGATCAAGATGTATACAGATCGTCATTTAGGCATGTAGGCATACTGTGATATAAACAGGACTTATTTAACGTATAACTAAATGGCAAGAAGACAAGACATAACAAAACAACAATCTGACGACATACCACAGATATATTTATAATAGGATAAGGGTTTTTAAATAGCGTGATACATGATTCATGTTGTTAAAAGTGACATTATTGATACTTGACCCGTAATGATAATTTTCATTAAATGCCCAAGCACATCAATCAAGTATTCGAATGGAATTTTAATTTTGGAAGCATTAAAGCATTAAACAGCAATAGCCTTTATCATATAATTTTCTATTTTCGAGTAATTGCAATGATTTTTCATGTGCTTTATATAGCTTAAAAACTAATGTAGATAATAGGAAATGTTATTCCAAGCAAATGTGGCATCGCTATCGTTACGAATCAAGTATCAAGTGTCGTGTTAAAAAAGAACATGAAATTGGAAAATGAACAGGTATCACGATTAACAAGCAGAGATGACTTATTATCAAACATAACAACGTACAATGAGATGAAAGTACAAAAATTATGAATCGTAAGCAACGCGCGTGAATCGAAATCATCCAACCATTACTGCTCGCTTACGAGCATTATAAAAGTATGTAAAATGATTAAAGTTATGTATGAAATGCATGAATGAGAGACATTAGGTAAACATCCTCAATGACGAGTTAACTCGATGCATGTGTTCGTGTTGAATGTTAGTCGGGTACGTTTTCGATTGACGCCACCTGTTTACGATTGTGACGATGTGAAACGAAAAGGAAATATATTTCCAGTATGCAGGGAAAATTAAAGCCAAAGAAACTGAGCATAACTGAGCGAACGGAAAAATAAAATAAACGTGATAGTAACTTTTACATAGTGATGATAAAGAAATAGAAGTTATATGCTTGAAAGGAAAAGTAAAAAAGTAGAAATAAATAGACGCACATGTAAAGAATACATAATGAGGAACGAGCGATGAGTAAATTGATGATATTTTTAATTGTTTGGATATAAACGATTAGCGAGAGTTGAGCTGCAACTTACCGCGGTTTAAAGGAACTCCAGAACGCACTACGTGTGGGAGAAAACCAACGAGAAGAAAGGGCGTTACCACGGTCACAGAACCCACGTTTTGCGACTCCGAGCGACTCTGCAGCTGAACTCGCATGTATGCTTTATGTCCTTGGCAAAAGGACTTAAGTCGTGCCAGATCGCGAACGAAAAGACAAATGCCAACAACCGTGGCGCGCACTCGTATTCGTATGTGCACACGTAGGCAGAAAAAATTGACCACGAAGAGACGAGCGACATTTCGGGCGAGTTTCCTTGCAGTTTCGCTCAAAGTCAAAATACAAAAACATTAGACGTAGACGTACACACTAAAATCAAGATCACCCACCATTCGCGCAATTATCCAGATGCACGCATGATCGGATGCTCTCACAGACTCGTACAACATAGAGTGGTTAACGTGTATGACGGACACAAGTTGGAAATTACACAACATATACAAAGAATCAGTGATTATTTTTGTTGTTATTTCATAAAAAAAATTTTTTTTTTTTTTTTTGATTTTTTTTTTGTTTCTTTTTTTGTTTTTTGTTTTTTGTTTTGTTGTTAATTATGTTTATTAGTTCACGAGGACTGGTTACATTTAATGTTTATGAGAACAAAAGAAACATCGTGACTGATTGAGTTACCTCACGTGCTAGACGCCATTTTTTGTGGTAAAATTAAAAAAAACGAAAAGAAAAAAGAAGAAAAGGGGGCGGGGGAGTTCCGCTATATCGTAAGCTTGCATTTTATAGACATACGTTAAAGAAATAAATGTCATAAATCGCTTATATCGTTTCGATTTCAAAATTATTCGATAAACATAGAACGTGTAAGTTATTAAAGTGGACTAGGAAGTAGAGTTTTTCATAAAATCTAACGACTGCTCCTATATTTTGCTATTCTTAGTTAATTATACCAGCATGGATCATTTGAAACATGAAAATATATATATATATATATATATATATATATATATATATATATATATATATTAACTTCTAATAAAAAATCATTACAATTCAGCTGATTTTAAGGGTTATTTAATTTACTACGATTTTATATATCTTCTTGATGTTATTAAAAAGTATTGAATATTTCATAGAAAAGCATAACATTTTATTCCATCATTGATGATTAAAATATTATAATAATTAAAATATTTGATAATAGTTTTTTTTGTTTGTTTGTTTGTTTGTTTGTTTGTTTGTTTATCCTTACCGAAATAATATCCCTTTTTGGTGTAATTTAGGGAGCTGAACTGAAACTTGAATATTATTAGAGTTGCATAATGCTGAAAGTTAGTGCGATGTCCAAAATTACATCCAAATAAGGAATGATTCGAGGACAACGAGAATAAAAATATCCACTTATAAGTGCAAAATGGAAAATGAATTCTATAAAACCGTTCACATTTATTCGATAACAAATTTTCACGTGCTAACAATAAGAATATCAAAATATAAAGAAAGCGCCTTATCGTTCTGAAAAGGATGTGAAAGTGCCAACATCATTGACCAGCAGACTTCGAGAACTTGAGCACTTTTTTTTTTCTTTCATTTTCTTCAAGTGCTCGAACATTTTGTCGTTTGCCTGCAGGTACGAACATAAGTCATATAATTCGATCGAATGCAAATGAAACCGACCATCCCTTCAGCGGAAAAGTATATTTACATTTGTTTGAAAGCGTAATAACGCTAATAGCAGTACATTCAGTGATCGCGGACAATATAGACATTAAGCAGGCTCTGGAAGCAGTAAAGAAACTTCGAGGAGTGAAAGGAAAGTAACTTTTTATTTTTTTTTTTTTTTTTTTTTTTTTTTTTACACGAAGCTCTTACGGTCAATGCAAAAGTCCTTGTTTACGATCGGCTTTCACACCCTCCTCCGTGAAAGGAAAAAAGAAATATTATTATTATTATTATTATTATTATTATTATTATTATTATTAGTAGTAGTAGTAGTCGTAGTAGTGGTAGTATAGAAGAAGAAGAAGAAGAAGAAAGAGATGAAGAATGGGAGTAAAGAGAGACAGCGCGAAAGATAATACGGGCGCGTAAAAGTGGCGAAGCCAAAAGCGTGACTCCGTAATGAAAATCCCGGTGAGACTGTGGGTTCGAAGGACGCGAGGGCGCTTTACCGCCCAATAAATAAACTCATTACCATGCGCCGTCTAATGACGCGCGTCGGGACTTCGGTAGGACACGGCGTTAAAAATAATCTCGAACGAAGGCGCCTTATAACGAATGATGTAATGTGGGGGAGTGGCGCATTGTCCTCGATCGCGGCAGACAAACGAGGAATCATCAGCAATCGCTCTTAATAAAATTTGGCGGCTCGCGACGTTTTTTTATTATTTTTTTTTTTTATAAAAAGCGTGCATGGCAAATTTCAAACTTGTGTCGACCATACCACGTCATTATATACATATACGTATATACATATACGGCCATATGCATACGTATACAAGTACACACATACGCACGCGTGCATGTATGCCCGCATGTTTTTGTACATTTGCGGGCGCGCGTGCGTACATGTACGTATATATATATATATATATATATATATATATATATGATTAAATGCATATATGTATGGCGTTAGTATAATTGCTGCTGATTTATATAAGGCCGCCTCGTGGGCCGTCTCGAATCACGACATTGCGCGCCCCTGCCTTCGACCCCCCCCCCGCCTCTCGCCATGGAGCGCGGACAAGCAACTTTGCCAGGAACAGTGACTCACGTGTACCTAAGTGCAAAGAGATATACGAAGGCCTGCGGGCAGTGTCCTGATTCGTGCAACGCAACGACCTTATATTCTTCTTCTTCTTTTTTTCTCTCTCGGTTTATTGTACTTTTTCACGTATATGTATATGTATATATATATAGAGGTATATATATATATATATATATATATATATATAGAGGTATATATATATATATATATAGAGGTATATATATATATATATATAGAGGTATATATATATATATATATAGAGGTATATATATATATATATATAGAGGTATATATATATATATATATAGAGGTATATATATATATATATATAGAGGTATATATATATATATATATAGAGGTATATATATATATATATATAGAGGTATATATATATATATATATAGAGGTATATATATATATATATATAGAGGTATATATATATATATATATAAATATATGCATATACACACATATATGCCGATAAATAAAGTATCTGTACATATATGTATTACGTCATGTTTGTATCAATATATGTTTTTCTTTCGTTCTCTTTTTGTTTTACTCGTATACTTTTGATATATATACTTCCATTTTCATTTTTATTTCTTTAACGATTTCTTTCTTTTGTTGCTTTTTTTTTTATTGTTACATTGTTTTGAATCTGGACAGGGCTTCAAACTGAAAGTAAATTTAGAATAAATTAATTGCATTATTTATTATGTAAACTATTTAAATTCCTTGAATTTTCGTTCGCTACATTCGTAATGCTCTCGTTAACAGTCATCCACCAAATTTATTTTAATATTTACTATTTTAGGTGCTCTTTACATTGAATACATTTTTTATGATAACAGAAATGTTAATGATGAAAAAGTATTAAAACAAAAAAAAAAAACAAAAAAAATAGAATTATCATATGAATTGCAGACAAAGTTTTATGTATTATCGCAATAATACACACAGACACACGCGCGTGCGCGTATAGTATTTAAAAATACTTTAGTCCGTAAAAGAGAAAACTAAAAATAACTAATTAAATGTTTTAACCTTAATCTTGAAATAAAAATTGTAATAATTAAATCATTCATTTTAATTTCATTAAAGTATGGTGTTAAATAAAGAAACAGAAATTACTTTATCTCCGTACGTATAAAAGACCATAATAAAATAAAATGTCTTTATTAAAAATTAACCCGTCGTGCATATCATAACATTGCACGTCATATTATTTGCTTTACTTCTTCTTATATATAATTTGGCATTTAGGAAAAATACAATTGCTTTGTTAACAATTGCAATTATCATTTAAATTCGTAAAAATGTATTTGATTTAATATTTCGCCCTTACTGTCAGTTTGAAGTCTTCCTTGCTACTTTAATGTTCTAGAAGCGTTTTTGATGCTTTTGACGTCACTTCATGTATAGACTTTGGTAAGTAAGTTTTCGGCAACTCTCATAATTATGAATTATTAAGAAAATTAGCGAATACAAAGAAATTAATAAAATTCAATATTTAATAAAACTGCAAATTATTTGTTTTTATAAATTTTAACGACATCGTTAAAGTGGAAATTTCGGTCTGTGAGTGTTCACATGAAACGACAGTTGCCACAGGAATTTAGTTGTTTACTCTACCAAAATTTTTTAAGAACTTTCGTTTTTGTTTTTGTTTTTGTTTTGTTTTTTTTTTTCTTTTTTATTATTATTCGTGGATTTTTATTATAGTCCCGCTACTTGGCCACTTTGGGCTCAGATAAGAAGGGCTTGAGGTTTTGGGTCAGGTGAGGTATACACAAAAGAGCAACACTAGACAACGAACACGAACCCCACGAACACCAGAGGCACTTTGAGAATTTTGCAGCTTCTCACACCTCGTGTATAAGCACCGCATGATGAAACAAACTTTGTATTTGTGCTTCGCAGCGTTAGCTGTTTGAAAAGCACATTTCATTTCCAAACTCCTAAAGGTAATAAAATAGTTACGAGCATTTTTTCCTCTCGAGAAATGATAAAAATTAGCATTTTCTCCGGGAAGGATATAAACATATTCCTAAGAAACGGCATTTACAAATCTCGTGATATTATACATCGCGAGCAGTTCCAGTGAGGGAGAACGAGCCGCGTCCCGGTATTCTCGTACGAACAAGAAAAAACAAAAAATCGATTGGTAATTATAGCGCGCAAACGAGCTTTACGCAAATGAGTTTCGCGTAAAGCGCGTAGAATCAATGAGGAAAATAAGCGAATCCGAAACTGTCGCTGAAAAACGCGAGTCGTGCCCACTTCAAACGCCTCACGACTCTCCGCCGTAATTCCCCGAAAAAGAGCGACTCGTTAAAGGACTCGGAAGTTAAAAAGTCCAAAGCGGGTTAATCTCGGCAAGGGAGAGCATTTCTCATGAATTTCAGTGAGTCAACGCGGCGCCATGTCGCCTGGACATCCCTCGCCCCCCAGAGAATAGCGGAAGAGCAAATAGAGAGCGCGGGTCCTTTGATCGGCGTGCTTCCGAGGTGATGCCAGTGCTTCTGTCATTCGTGGGAGGGTAAGAAGAGGAAAGGTGATACACAAGGAGCAGAGGGAGGCTCAAAGAGGGGCTTCTCTCTCACTCTATCACGCACGCGCGCACGCACACGTCAACTCGCACACCCACACACACACACACACACACACACTCTCTCTCTCTCTCTCTCTATCACACGCGCACGCACACATACACGCACGCACGCACATACACGCACGCACTCACATACACACACGCACGCACGCACGCACACACGCGCTCACACGCACACGCATACTCTCTCTTTCTCTATCTGTTCGTAGTGGGGTAATGGAGATTCCCCCGCTTTCTTATCTAACATATTCTTTCTTTCTTTATATTGCTATTTCAATTTTTTCTCTTTTGTATACGCTAAATCTCCACTTTGCATTTAATGAAACAGATTGGTATGGGAGGGGGACTTTCCTTCATTTTCCTTCTTTCTTATCATCGTCTCTTGCTCTCTGTCGCACAGCCCATCTCTATGTTGAAAGACTGCTTTTCTTATCATTCACGTTTTCGACGATGGTCGATCTTTATTCCTCATGGAAGATTCCACGTAACGGAGGGCGAGGGGAGTAAAAATTTCACTCGAAAAAAATTATCCGCGAAAAGGCTGACATGTCTAAGGCTTAAGTAGCTAATTTTCTTGCGATTGCTTTCATGCGATTGTGAATAGACGGGGGTTTCCGGCTCTTTGATATTCATATTTACTTGTTAAAGAGAAAATTGATCACTCCTAATTATTTGTTTATGCGAATCTTTGCCGTAGCGTTAGTTGTGAAGAAATGATCGGGAGTCTCGAAATAAGTTGAAGTATTGAGAAAGCAATTTATTATTAAAATTATACATATAAACAGCAATCGCGTTATTTAACCATTCGACGCAGCCTTGATTATCGTTACCATTATTTGAATTTGCACAGTGCAACATTCAAAGCTGTATAAGTTCTAAAAATACCGATGTAACTAGATTGGATAAATTTTCTTCCATTTGGAGTAGAAATTGGATCGACCACCTCGCCTAGCAATATATAGATATATGTATGTATATAGGCATGCAATATTATCTTCTACGTCTTAAACTATGTATATCCTTATCTAGTAGTACACGAAGAAAAAAAGGAAAGTTATGCGTACAGGAGGCTCCTTTTCCTACTTTCCTCCCTCTTCCTTCCTTTCTTTCTTCCGTACATCTGCCTTACTCTCCATTTTTATCTTTATCTTTTTTTCATTCGTCTTTCTCTTTGTCTGTCTGTCTTTCTCTCTCATTCTCTCTCACTCTCTCTCTCTCTCTCTCTCTCTCTCATTCTCTCTCACTCACTCACTCACTCACTCACACTCTCTCTCTCTCTCATTCCTTCTCTCTCTTTCATTTATTCTCTCTCTCTCTCTCTCTCTCTCTCTCTCTCTCTCTCTCTTAATTTTACTTTCCGACTGAAACTCTAGACTTTGATTAAAATTTCTCTTTTCTTTTCTTTCCCGTGTCTGTTTGCGAATAAACCCGCATAGTTCGGATTAATTTAATAAATGCACAAAGGAGCGCAGGAAGCCCCCAGTCGACGAAACGAATTGCGCCCGACTTAAATTACGAGTGAATTGGCGTCTCCTTACTTTTCGCTGTACTCGTCAATGCGGGCGTAGCTCTGCACGCTGTTGTCCTCAATGAGGAACTTAACCCGCTGATAGAACGTCGCGGTGACGCTCGGCGGCTGCTTCCTCAGGAGTACCTCGACGGGATCCTTACTGGCGATGCACATCAAGTGCTCGGTGCACACCGGCTGCGAGCAACACTCGCTGTCCGAGCAATCCTTCGTCCCGTCTGCAAGTATGGCGAAATTTTTATTACGCCCCTGCTTATTTGTCATAATAACTGAGCGGATCTCAGCGCCGGGCTGCTCGCGTTAATAGCCGGCGATTTATTAGCTTTTAACGTGTCATAATACGCGGCCGCTTAGCATAACGATGGATTAAATTCTTCGGGCAAAGTTGCTTTGACTTATTTTTCAACTTTAATACTAATCTTGATTTAGCACGCAAGATGTCTCATAAATGCATATTCAGAGGCGTATGCTTCACAAATGCATCTGATTCGCCGGATAGATAAGCCGCGTCTAATCACGCTGTATATAAATAAATAATACTTTTATCTTTTTGATGGAAAATATCACGAACGACGCGACGTGGGCTAGGAATGGTACGGGGGAGGGGAGGGGGATGGCTCGATCGTTTAGCCATTGTAACTGTTACATGCCGATTTTTGCGGATTTGCGTACCAAACGCCTCGCTACATAATATTTTGTACAGTCAGCGTTATATTGCTTAAATCGTCGCAATAATCGTTGCTATCTCATTCTAACACGGCATTATGGTTCTACGTATTAAATTATTAATCCTCGATCTTATTCATTGTTAGTTGACTAGACTCCGCTAGAGCAGCACATATTCCCAATAATTTCATTAACGAAATTATCAATGTCCTAAGCACGATCGAGCTAACTTTACTCTTTACGATTCTCTTTTATATATTTGACAATCTGTATTGAATAGCTTGAAGAGAAAAAAAAATAATAAAAGGAGTAATTCTAACGAATGGACAAGAAGAGTCGAAATAAATCAGTTTTACCAAAGTCAAGTAAATTTTATTCTGCTTGTAGTGTTCCATTACGCGTAGTAAACACATTCGGTGTAGTTTGTATTGAGAAAACGATCGGCTAGACTAAATTTAACTAAATTTACTAAATGATAAAATTCAATCTTACGGAAATTCGATTGTAGAAAAAATTTATTTGATAAAAAATTCAAGGTTATTGGGCAAATGTAAACATTTGCTGCAACAGTGTAGAGATTCGTATGTGAGTTGCAAATGAGAATAATTTACGCCCGTAAGTATGAAAGTTTGATATTGCTTAATAAAAGAAAAAAGAAACAACCGATTTCTTCGCAGAACATACGCGCAGCTATCGATTAATTAGTTATTTAAAGCGAGCATTTATTATACGATCATTTTTACTCGATAAACAAGCAAAATAAGAAAATTTAGTCGGCAATTGGGAATACTTGTGCGATTACGGAGAAAAGAGTAATAATAAATAGCAATGCACACACATTATATATTATTCATATCAAAATTTCAACTTTTTCTACCAATGTACAATTTAATGAATATGAATAAATTAAATTAACATATTTTATATTTTATGCAAACTCGATATTCCCGTTTATTTTGTGAATTATATTTTTAATAGTCGATGCAATTGAATATTATTTTTATATGCAATCGTTCTTAAATACCATGCGAATTGAAAATCGATAATTTATCAAATAAATTTCCCCCAATAATCTTATATTTGCTTTCTTTTTAATAGAATGCATAAAGTCTATTTAATTATTGACTTTAGTGACTTATTGATGCTAATGATATTATTTCCCGGCACGTTTTAATAGAATAAACATCGACTAAAGCGAAATTTATGAGATATAGAGAAAGTGTCGCTTGTATCGCATTGCGTTTTATGATAAAAAATTTTTCCAAGCAATTATTTACAGCGACAAAAAAAAAATCTTAAGAGCATAATTAATAAACGTCTGCAAAAGGGTTGAAGCATGAAAGAATCTTATACCAATTACTGAAAACCATCGATTACGTTTACGATTACATTTTGAAATATTCGCCCTTTACTTTAACAAACGGGAGGAAAATTAATAATGTCGTTAATAAGACCAGCAATAAAAGCAATAACTTTCAACATGCGCATTACAAAGTTGAATTATTCGAGGCTAAAATAGATGTCGCACCACGAGGTTAGAAAACAAAACAAAAAAAAACAAAAAAAAAAAAAATCTATATATATAACGAAAAATCATAAATACGGTAGGCGTAAGTAGGCGTCCGCTCGGCGACCCTGAAATTTCCCCGTAAAATTATCGATAAACGGTGGCTGGAAATAGACGAGGGGAGTGCAAAAAAGATATTGTTTTGTCAACGGCACTCAACGCGCCCGATCCATTTGTTCGCGATATGCAACTGCAATTTATTCGATTATCTCACCGCCGTCGTTGTCGATGTCGTCGTCGCACTCCATTTCGAGGGGGATGCTGCAATCCCTGCCCGCCCATCCTGGAACGCATTCGCAACTGGACTCGCCGCCGATGGGTGTGCAGGATCCGTGTCCGCTGCACTTGTTCTCGCATCCAGCTGAAAGGAATATTTGCAAATGGTGTTTTACACGACGGTCAGAGCGTTCAGCTTGAGATTGGATGGAAGGTGATGGCTACGAGCCGAGGCAGTTATCACGTGCAAATCGCTCGATTTGCTTGACGTGTATGGCTTGAGTCCTCGTACCGAGGCTCTATTATTATCAAGGACCTCGCTCGATGCCTCGATGGAAAAAGATTATATTATTTAGGGGCCAGCTTTTAGCCTCTGCTCCGATATATATATGTGTGTGTGTGTGTGTGTGTGTGTGTGTGTGTGTGTCATTGTGTTTGGGTTTCTCTGTGTATTGATTCAATGTTTGAAAACCCGTAATAAATGCGTGCCATATGAAATCGTGAATATTTAAATAACTCTAGCGTATCGCTTAGGAAAGATTTTATAATTTTACTAGCGAGTTTGCGCAATTATTACTCTAGACGCTGTAACGTGCGATTATAAATGGCCATAGGGACTAATTCGATTCTTTTTTCCTTGTAATTTTATCATATTTATATTATTGAACGCTGGATGGAAGGTCTCGTTCTCAAATCTTACCATTGACATCGCATTTTGACACGCTCGTTGATCCTTATCCCTTCCATACTCTAATACCACATTTCCCATATAATCGTGACTTTTATTAAATAATTGAATACCTATCGATTTAGCCAGCAGAGGTATTAAATTGATTGAATATTCATAAAATGTAACCTATTTCTGAGTTATAAAATTTCAATGCACTTCATGTTTCATATCTCTGAATGCTGGCCCGGATTTATAAATGACTGGCCATCAAGATCGCGGGGTGGGGTGGGGTGGGGGAGGCGGTGTCGTGTAATTAAAAATTTTGCATGGACGGAGTGGCGAACATTATCCGGAAATACGTCAAATGTTAAAACTTACGCAATGTGCAGTGCTTTCCATTCCAACCTTGACTGCATACGCAAGTACCGTTTTTGCATTGGCCATGTTCCGCGCAACGCGGATCACAAGGTTTCTGATCGCATTTCGTTCCTGTCCAATTATCCTGACACCTGCAAATAATTTGATTTGTACAATTTAAAAATAAAAGTATCAAATCTTGCACACTTTAAATAAATGTTTAAAACATGAAGTGGCCACAATCGCTCTAAAATTGCGCTTTAAACTATTCACTTCGTTACTTTGATCGGAATCCAATTATTATTGACGAAATACCACGTAGCTTATAAATGTAAATTTATGAATCACTATTCGCAAAAGTATCATTATTTCTCTGGTTTCGTTAAAAAGCTTTTTTTTTTTTTTGCTTATTTTTCTATTTAATGATAACAAAGAGCACGCTAGATTGCTAAGATAAACAAACCTCGCCAAAAAAAAACAAAAAAAAAAAAAAAATAAATAAATAAGTAAAAGAGAAACGACGATCGATAAAGGCAATGGGTCAAATAGTCGGCCGTCGTAACAATTGCGTTAAATAGTTTCATTGAGCTGACGAGAACAGTAGCGGGACACATGGTGGCGGGAAGCCAGTGTGTTCAAGTCGAAAGAGGAACGCGAGGCGGAAGGTAACGAAGAGAATGACGAGTTAAGCTGAATTTCGGCAAAGGGAGGCGCGCCATGAGTTAATACAAGGGAAGTCGCGAGGCGAAAGAAAAGCAATTTTGTTCTCGGAAAGATCGTAGCTATTCTCGATGAATACGACAAATATTGTCGGGATCAACATTTGGCAACTGCTTGAGAAAGGGACAAAGAGGGACAAGCGAGGAAGGCGGCGGCGGCGGCCTCTAAGATATCTTCCACAGCTTGGAAAATGCATCAGGAGCGGTCCACTGGCAAAGCGTTTTCATAGTGCGTCCAGGAAGAAGTACATTTTCACCCGAAAGGCTTACCCAAACAACAGTTTCCTAGTACAAGATGGGCCCGATTATTATTTATTTTTCGTATTTTTTCTTTTTCTCGTCGTAACGCACGTTTCGCGATATTCACCCGCACACACATTCGCCAAGAAAAATTACTATTTGCTGGGAACAATGGATTGGGAAGTAAATTTGTTTATAAAACATTGTTCTAATGTTTATAAAATATGACGAAAGATATCTTATATCCTGGAGATTGATAAAAAGCAAAAACGCCGTCGTTCTACGCGATACGACCGGAGGCAATTGGAAATAAAAATACTTTATAGTTAGCGGGACGCAAAACTTTATGAGGAGTTGATAATTCGCCCCGTCACAATATTATTAAAAATATGAAATTGTTAAAAAACATTTTCCTCTCGACTGTGCTTTACGATGAGAGTGGAGTTTTATTTGCCGATCGTTCCAAGTCAGAAGGAAAATTCGTTATTCATCGAATATTTAACGCTCCAATGAATAATGTCATCGTCCTCATCAAGGCTTTATCGATACGATACACTCGTCTAATTACATTTCTTGCAACTTAGTGCGCAACTTGTTATCGTAATTGTCGAGTCTGTTTACACAAAGCCAATATAACATTATCCACCATAATGTATTATTCGGAGAATATAAGGGAATAAATTATCGCGAACAATGTTGGCATCGTGTAAACGAGGCAAGTAGATGAAGAAAAATGCTAGGCGCCGTCTTGAAAGAAAAGGTAATTAGGCAAGTGTTTTGTACGAATAAAGTTTCGACGACGATGACATTGTTCGCCGAGACGTTAAATATTTCATAAATAAAAGGCCGACAGAGAGATAGAGATAGAGAGAGAGAGAGAGAGAGAGAGAGAGAGAGAGAGAGAGAGAGAGAGAGAGAATGGCCTGCCAAACTCGAGAGACTAGCAGAGCAAAACTCCATTAGTATCCCTATGAAATTTAATGCACACAATGAAAATACAGCGAGCATAAAAATTTTCTAGTAATACCGCATACAGATTTCATAATTATTTGTCCGACTCGATCGATATAGCTGTTTGCTTTGACGATTTATCTGCCATCATGGGGCCATAGCGCTCAACGATCGATGCGAAGCGCTAAAACCCGCGCGAATCGCCGTCACAGTAGCATCAGAGGCCCGATGATGGACCAAAGCCGCGTAACAGAATATCACAAGACAGGATAAGGGAGCCAATGAAACTCACTTGCAGCGGCCCTTCTCGCACGTCCCGTGAAGTCCGCAATCGAGTCCGCAGCTCGGCTGGGAGCAGTCGATCCCTGTCCAGTGCTCCTCGCAGATGCAAGCGGCGGCCTCGAGGTCGTAGCTCCCGTGTTCGGAGCAGCCGGGCAGACACTGATAGACCTGCTGGTCGACCTGGTCGCAGCGCTCGCCCTGCCAACCTGCCTTGCAGTAGCACTTGCCCTCGACGCAGGCTCCGTGGCCCCCGCAGTTGGGATCCGAGCAGTCCGCTGCAAAATGCAAGAGTCGGAGATGAGTCGGGAGGAGTCGCGGCCGAACGCGGGGGAGCTGCTACAGAGTGCTGCTAAAGGATGGATAATCGGCACGATTGCTATTCTAATCGAATACTTATGTTATGTATGGCGATAACGCGTACCATCGAATATTTTACGACTCGAGTTTGATACCGTATTCCGTGATAATTTTTTATGGATTTTGAACGGCCCGAATAAAGAAAATTGGCTCAACCTGTGTAATTACTCGATCGGTGAAAACTGAGTTGCGAAATTTGACGCGTGTCGCGCTCGGCTTAGAATTTCATTATCCGCGTACTTTTTCTCTGATTTTATTATAGGCTTTTTTTTCCTCGTTCACTCTCTTTTTAACCCCACGAATTAAAATATTTACGCCCGTGTATAGTTTATGCGTAAATTATACCGAGTTTTTCTTGAAATTACGGCGATGTCGCGTTCGATGAAATAAATTGCTTTGAAAAATCATTCATCCGGTGTTTCTGAGATTGGAGCAACACGATAGTACGGTATTCCATGTAAAACTGTAATAATTTTATTTCCATATTTATTATATTGGACGACCGATTTATTTCAATGGCTTATTTTGTTGATTAATCATAAGAATTATTTATTATTACGATTCTTCTGTAATCGCGGTACAGGCCTTCCTAAATAATTCCCGACAAATTTATCGACGTTTATAACTGTTTTTTTTTTTTTTTTTTTTTTTTTTTTTTTTTTGTAGAAAATAATTTGATAAATTGTAACCCGTACGTAATGAATACTTTGTGAAATACCTCAGACTAAGTACTTTTTAATCTTTTTCGAAAATTTATGTTGATTAGAATCTGCTAAAGCTGTTGAGATATTTTCACCTATGTATTTTTTTTACGCTTATTACCAAGATTAAAATGTAGTAGCAGAAATTAATTTAAGTTGTAAAAAGTTTATTTTATGTAGTTTATAATGCAAGCGAATCTACAGTAATATTTTATAAATTATTAACAAAAAGATTTTGGTTTATACTTTTTTTTTCTTCTTTTTCTTCCTCATCTATTCGTTTTTTCTTTTTCTTTGTCTATTTCTTTTTCTTTTCTACAATTTGGATAATTTAATTTGTGTATATAGTAAAAGGTAAGTAATAAAGACCCATATTATGTCTGTTAAAAAGCTAGTAAAAATGCTCAAGTTTTAAAAAGAAAATTTTCTCGATCTTGCCGTAAGCGATTAGTCAGCCGAGTATGGTATAAATTTTTACTTCAAAATTCTCAAATTTACGAAACACAAAAATTATAAATTATGAAAAATAAACTTTCTGTATAGTGAGTCATTATTAAAAAAAAAAAAAAAAAAAAAAAAAAAAAAAAAAAAAAAAAAAAAAAAAAAAAAAAAAAAAAAAAAAAAAAAAAAAAATATAAAAAAAATAAAAAAAGTAAAAAAAAATATAAAAAAAAAAAAAAAAGTAAAAAAAAAATCATATACCGCAATATTCAGTTCTTTTTTAGATTCTTAATAAAAATGACATTGTTATTAATTTATTGGGATATATAAATTATTCTTCGGCATTATATTAACTACTTTTCTTCTTAACTACCTTTGCATTATTCAGGATGTTAGAGAATTTTTCAGTAAACTATCCGTATGTCATTTCGTTTCATAAATTTGTAAAAGTGTGTTCATCATTAACCATCGGGAAATACTACGAAGTTCAAAAGTTCAATTGCACGGTTCCTGCATTATTTATTTATTTAGCTTAATAATTATTCAATTTCCCAAATGGAGAAACAATGAAATTTCTACTATTACCTGCTTATTCGAATTTTCATTAGACATTGGCGTACGTATAATCGGACTAGTCGGATTCTCGTGTTAACTTCACAATCGATAAATTCAAATGTCGAATGTTCGAATTTCTGTGCCGGACGCGTCATCTTTAAGTAACACTCACGTACTTCACATCTTTACGAAAAAAAGATTTTGGCCACAAACGCCAATCGACTATTGGAACACGTATCGAGGGGCAGTCGGGCGTTCTCCTGTACCACTATAACTATTCGTTGATTCGTTAATTTATTTTAATATACGAATACACTATTAAGCCGAAATTAATCGTTTGTAATTAGCATTTCCCTAGCTCGAGTAACGAAAATGCATAAGTAATAAATATGACAAAATGCTTTTGCCACACATATTTTGATTATCCATCTATTTGTTAATGTAAAATCTTGATAACCCGTATAGCGAACGTTCAATAATTCACCACCGACACGATGTATAAATATTGCAATATTATTATGTCCACTATTGTGATAAACAAATCGAATCCTAAATTCATGTATAAACGAAATGTAAGCAATTCGGTAATTAAGTATCCCGGCATCAAATATCAAACGTCTCTTCCCTCCCCGAGCCCAACGCCTTCCCATTACCAATATGACAACGCGTCCGAAAATTATGGATTTTACAACGAATAGCAACGTATTTGTCGTCGTCCCGCGCGCTAAGATCCTCGCTCATCCTCACTCATCCCCGCAAAATGAACGAAAGACGATAAAAGCAGCATTGAAACAAAAATGTTGCTCGAGCTCGTATCGGTCGAGGCGCCTGAAAACGAGAGTAAAAAGAAGTAAAAAAAGAGAGAAAAAATAGCGAAATCCGGAGAACAATACTTCATTGGAATACATAACCCGCGAATAAAGCTGATAAACAAACGTAAATATTCATGAGTGACGTTTCCATTAGAATGCGCATAATTAATCCTTGTTTCTTGTAGGCCGGCTCGATAATCCTTTGAATGCGAATGAATGACAGAGAGCAGGAGTAGGCAGCAGGAGCCGCAAGGCGAGCCGACTCGCTAATTCTCACTCAGGGTCGTCGAAAAAACGCCGTTAGCTCGCGAGAGGCGCGTCGTTGCCTAGCGTTACAATTCCGCGGCGTACGCGGAGGCGAGGAGTTGGGGCGTACAGGACCATGTTTAGCGATTAACGTCCAAGGCGACCGGCTCGTCTCGCGCGTACAAGTTGCGCGAGGAATTAGCGCTTAGTCGACCTCGGTGAAGGCGGTATCATTCGCCGATCCCGGTGTCACATAATCTTAGTATCCCTCGATCATGGCAAGTTTATAAGGGGATCGACGAGGCTATTTAACGCGGGCGCATGAGCGCCCATTAATAATCACCAAATCAGTATGCATTGCGGCGACCCTCGCGGGGCTAAAAATCCCCGTGCAAACGGGAAAAGGGAAAAGGATGAAGGGCTCGGCATACTCACGCTCCGAGCAGAAGTCGCCCTTCCAGCCGGGACTGCACACGCAGGAACCTCTCACACATTGTCCGTGCTGATTGCAGTCGGGGACCTGGCAGTCGCCGAGCGGAATGTCGCACACCGCGCCCTTCCAGCCGTCCTCGCAGTGGCACATACCGCCGCCGTATTGTCCGTGGCTCGAGCACAGCACCGGGCACACGCTCTTGCTGCAGTCCGCACCCTACGTTAACAAGGAGAGAGCAGACGTGTCACGCTGATCGATATTCCATACACACGCGTATTTAATCCCCTCTCTCGCCCATCACCCATCACCCATCACCCATCCTCCAATCACCATCACCATCCATTTCTCCCATAAGTGTACATTTGGTTGCTTGGGTGTGGGTAGATGGATGCTTGTGTGGCTGTCTGTCCCAGACTGTCATCGTTCGCATGCACGGCTGTGTCGTGCGAGTGTGCGCGCGTGCACGAGAAGATGGAGGATGAAGGGGTCTGGGGATACTCCACGATGTTATTCGGTAAAACAGGTTACGCGCCCCGTTTTCTGGGCTAAAGCCCTCTTTTACACGCGGGGTCGACTGCTCGGCAGGATTAACCGGCAGAACCCCACTAAATATGCTTCGGTTAAGTCCCTAATAATGTCAATGGTACGAGGACTTTCTTTTGAATGTATTTCAGTCGGCGTATTTGTCTTGTTGTCGATGAAGTTGTCCGTGGTTTGCAGCTTAAAAATAAGTTAATCAGTAGATGCGTCGGACCGCGTGCGAATTTATCACACATTTGTCCTCGCTAACGCCCTTGAGCGAGCTTCGCGATAAATAAAAAGAGAGAGCGAGAGTGTGAGTGAGAGCGAGAGCAAGAGATAAATATGGTAGGTCGGGAAGAACGGTCGGGAGTGGGACGGGAAGAGGGAAGGGTGGTGAGGGGGGAGGGATGGTGATGGAGGAAGGCCATAGTATAGCCTCTTTCCAGATAAAATAACAATGAATTACAAAGTAAACGTACGTAGAAACTTTCAAAGCGGATGCGTACCCTTTCGCTCTTTACACAAAAATGAACTTCATGATGGCTCATTATTTTTAATACCTTGGTACCAGTTGTTGCCTTTTCAAATGTAAAAATAACAAGTCGTATCAAGCAGCTCTGCGGCACCCTTTCTATAATTTGAAAAAGCAAGGATAAATTGGTTTTCATCCTCGGATAAAGTTGTGCCGCGGTTTTCTCCTTTGCCTTTTCTATTTTTATTTGTTCTTTTTGTTTTTCTCCTTTTTCTCATTCGATCTACCTAGACGGTAATTCCGCAATACTTTCTCCGCGGTAAGACGATAGTTGATCGAAACAGCCGTTACGTATCCCCGAGTGTACGTTGCACTTCACGTGGGAGTGATTCCCGATGTTTCATTAGAAACTGAAACAATAGATATCTCTTCCGCGGCGATAGTTTTGTGGGAAAATAATGGGGGATGATGATGGCTACGAGTTGATTGGTGGCGGGGTGTCGATAGTTGGTGGTGGTGGTGGTGGTGGTGGTGGCGGTGGCGGTGGCGGTGGGAGGGGGGGGGGTTACTTGGTGGTTCCGCGCACGTAAGGGGGGTTACTTGGTGGTTACGCGCACGTAATCGGTAGACCTTTACTCTCGTATGTACCTGAGCGTGTGCGTAGTGCCAGAGTCGTTGAAAACTCTTCCCTTTGGCGCATCGCCTGAACGTGTACGCGGCTTTGAGCTGCGGTGCGACTTTTTAATTTCCTCGCCGCGCCAACTTTTTCTTTTCTTTCGGGCCATTCTCTACCAGACTCTTGTGACAATGGCTACAGTGCCTGAATGGCGCGGGGGAGAGAACGAATGTTTGTAACAATGTTGCTGGAAAACACGCGACGCGGCATATGGCGTGATTCGGCCTCTGTTCGCTTCACGTGATAGAGGCACATGAGGCACGTAGAGGAACAAAAACAAAACAATAAAAAAAAAAAGAAAAAAAAACAACAAAAATAAAAAGGAAAAAATCATATAAAGAGTTCGGACATTTGTTTTGCGTTAGCGTTAAGGGACATTGGCACGCGCTTGTAAATTTCCTTGTTGATCCCCAAGTGTCGGCAACAAATTTTTATGTTTAATATATACGAATAAATTTCCACCTTAATGGCGTATGAAATGCGGATGTAAATTTACGCCTAATCAGATGGATTTTGACAAAAAGTGCAAAATAATTTAAACGTTAAATTTAATTCTCTAATAATTTACTTTATCTCGCACGAGCATTTAATTATACGTTATTTATGGGTGGATAATACTAATATTTTCTAAATGAAAACTAAACGGCCTGGATAGACATCTAACGGAAGACACAATAGAAAATAAGACCACTTAAAATGGGCATTGAATGCGACATGAGGCTTTTGGCGACAGTATTTCGCTTCATAACTGATTAAATATAGTCTAGTCTTTCAATGCGATTGTAATGCTCCTTATCTATAGCGCGAATAGCTCGGGGTCCGCCTAATGGAAAATGCTCGCATGAAATGCATATTCCCTACGTAAGAGTTTTCATAGATAAACAGTGGTAAGGACAGTATAGATCCTAAATGGCCAAGACATTCTAATCAAAACGTTTTCAAGCAAATAAATCAATCAATAACTAAATTAACAAGATAAAAAATAAATCAAAATAGAGTATTCAATTTTTTTTTAAAATATGAAAAAGTAAAAAAAAAAAAAAATAAAAACTACTTACTTTTACTTGTGAAACATAGTACGCGAATTTAATAAAAGTAAAGTTAATTAAATTGCTCTAGTGCCACAAACAAAGACGTTAAATTTACTTTACAATGGAGTGGATTAGTAAAATATATAGGATTGTCTGCACAAAAGCCATTAACGATATTTCCATACGTAATGCGATTAAGATAACAATTTTAGCATAATAGGTTTGACCGTGGTATCATGAAGAATCTTTTATATTTTATAATGGTTTTACTTTGCCCCAAAATAACTTTCGATCGATAAATTATAAGCCTGCCGATGACTCCAAGTGCTTTGTTCACAAAATTTTCGTCCAAGAAAACACAAAGTTCGCGGAGTAACGCTCATTGATTTTGTAAAAAGCTTATGCTACTTTTACGAGCGAACTTTACGCTCAACGTAAGTTTGCTTGTAAAATACAAAGAGCCAGTTTTCTTGAAATTGACCCCCCCCCGCCCCATCTTTCGGAAATTCACTCATTATTATTACAATGCCACACATTTGTTTCCACAAAATGGTCGTCAATACGAGTAAAGTTGGCTTTCTTTATTATGGTGCTTGAGGTCTGAAGAGCGGACATTTGGAAATATTGCAGAAAATGCAAAATACTATGACTATTTAAATTACATATTTTTCTACCGACTTTTGCTCAATACATCAAAATTATAGACTAAAAAAATTCTGTCTAAGCCCACACACGAGTTACGCGTAGTGTCGTCCGCACCGCTGCACATTCTACACGATTAATAATTTGTTTCGTCACGTTTAAAAGAAGCCGATTAACTGTCTCTCCCTCCCACTCCACCCCACCCTAAACCACCGCCGTCCCCTCCTATCTTTATTTTATAAAAATGCAGGAAAGCTTTTTCGTAAGAGAATCGAATGTCATCGTTAATACTCCATTGTTCGGCGTCAATATTATTGTACTCGAGAAGGAATTCAATTTATTCGACGTATTGTAGTGGAGAATAGATTTGGCGAAAAATACGAATGGGGAGGGAATGGCCGAGCGCAAGAATCCTATCCTCGGTAAACAAGACGAGTCGCTTGTATTTGAAATTAGATGCGCGAAAGCATCGAAAGTCATCGACGTACCCGCGGCGCATGCGTTAAGCCAACTACACGGACAATTATTATTACACTGGATTGGGGATCGGAATGCGTGCGACGCGTTGATTTCTCTATCTGACAGCAAATCGACAGATGAGGCAGAGAATAATTAAGATAATAGCCTTCGCTCTTCGTCCCTGTACACGCCCCATACATCACAATAACATCAAGATCGTCATGAATTTGGGTCACGTCATTTTCCACGAATCGGAAACACGAGCTTTCCCGGGAACGCGGGAAACGGGTGCTCGGTAACCGCGAGCCTACGTATAGCGGTACTCTATTATCGTGGCTTTTTTCTCATTTCCTTATAGGTCGGGTATTAAGCTTCTTATTCGACCGAGAGCTCGGGGCACAAGATATCAGGACTTGGCTATTTCCGTCCTTTATAAGTAGATCAACGGAGCCTTAAGTACTTATGTGTGTTGAGAGTTATCGTCGCTGCATATCGAAATAAGTTGCAGATGAAATGTGGGAAAAGGGGGCGGGAGGGGGTGGTGGATGGGGCGGCGGGCGGGGAACGAAGGTAAATATCGGAACTTTATTTTTTTCAATTAACCGATGGTGGATGGTGGGGATCATATACGATATCACTGTTTTTATACAAGGAATTGCGAACGAAGCTCGAAAGTACTTTTACGGAAGAAAGAAACGCTTCGTCGATTTAGGTATAAAGAAAAATCGCTTTGCTGCCCCGTTAATATCCAGGCATTATTTACTAAAAGTATTATTATGTATCATTGCAAACTCAATTCGCGGCAAGCGTTGTTATATTATAATGTATTTGATCGATAAACTTGATAGAACAATTAATTCATTCGCTTCATCATTCGCATCGGCGGATTTTTATCCCTGCGCGCGGTAAAATTATTTCTTATTATGCGCGTACGTCGCAATAACTTTTTCATTATTTCGTCGCGTACGCGTAAGCACAATGCGCCGCGCTTTAATGTAAAAGTCCCGTAAAAAGGTGATGAATAATCTGCGCTACATTGCCGTTGTTTCAATTTCACTTTATCTATGACATTATTGATTTTTAGTGCACTCAAAGATTATCGCTTTAATGAATATCGCATATATTACTTTCGACGCGTTAGAGAAATGAAAATCTTTGTCAACGCTCATCGTATAATAAAACATTACTACCGTCTGTTCGATCAAATATTATATTATTATCGCAAAGATCCTTATCCTGCATTATAATAATAAGTGTAAGCAGTTACGCTACATAAAGCCGCCATTCTTCTTCTTTTTTTCATTTCCTTTCTTTTTTTTTTTTTCCTTTTTCTCTTTTTTTCTCTCTCTCTTTTTTTTCTTCCTTTTTTAATGTAACAAAGTGTAATTTATTTTTTATACAAATTTTCAACGCT